AATCATATTAATTCTATATAAATTCTTTCAGACTATGTAAAAAGAGGGAATACTTCTCCATTCTTTTGGGGGGGCAATTTTAAATTATGCTAATACTAAAAGAGAAAGACATTACAGGAAAATTACACCAGTATCCCTTTTGAACACAGAGCAGATATCTTCCACAAAATTTAGGGAATCAGTCTTACATTATATAAAAATAATTATATATATTATGTAATTTATCTCAGCAATATATCACAGTGTTGAAAAAAAATCAATATAATTCAGTATAAAATTAAACAAAACCATATGATCATCTCAATAAATGCAGTAAAAGACTTTACAAAATTTGTCACCCATTCTGATAACTAAAACAAAAAGAGAAGGGAACTTCTTCAACTTGATAGAGGGAATCTATAATAACTTACAGTTAAGATAGTACTTAAAATTAAAAAACTGAAAGCTTTTGCTCTAAGCTTGAGCACATCACCATAGATATTCCTAACTGTATAGGTAACCAATGCAATAATGCAATTTTTTTTAAAAGTATAAAAATTGTAAAAGAAATAAAAGAATCTCATTTGCAGATGACAGAATCTCAAAAAATGCTATTAGAACTATTTAATGAATTAGCAGAATATAAGGTCTAAATATAAAAACAATTGTATTTTTGTACCAGTAATGAATAATTTAAAATTTAAAATATCATTTGTAATAGTAACCAAATATATAGTAATCTAGGTTACATTTATCAAAATATATGCAAACCTGGATACTGAAAATCCCTAATCTGCTAAAAATCAAAACCAAGTAGAGATATCCATGTTCATGGATTGAAAGTATTGTCAGGTAATTATTGACAGATTATTATTATCCATTCTCTGAAAATTTGATCTGTTGATTCAGTTGAATCCTAATGAAAATGCCAATAGATGTTAAGAGTTAAAAATCTGATTTTCAAATTTATTTGGAAATATAAATAACAAACTTAGAACAGCCAAAACAATTTTGAAAAGGAAGAACAAAGTTGAAGGAATTTTATCATCTGATTCAAAACTCATTGTAAAGGTGTAGTAACCAGAACAACCTGGTATTGTCATAAAGGTGGACATATCAGTCATAAATCAGCAGAGAGTCTAGAAATAGACCCCAGTGTATGTGGTCAATTGATTGTTGCCAGAATTACCAAGATACCTCAGAGGGGAAAAGGATAGTCTTTTTCAACAAATTTTGCTGAAACAATCTGATATACAGTATTGTAAACTATGATCATATCATATTCAGAAATTAAATAGAAATGGATCAATGGCTTAAAAAAAGTAAGAGCTAAATTCTACATATATAACTTGTAGAATAAGCAAGATAAGCTTGCTGACCTTGAGTTATGAATAGATTTCTCAGGATACAAAAGTATGAACCATAAATGAAAAGGGGGTTAAATTGGGCTTTGTGAAAATTCGAAACATTGCTGAGAAAATGAAAAGATAAAATTGTAAGTTGAGAGGAAATACTTGCAACACATCGATAAAATGTATTTAGAAAACCTTAGGAACTCTCAAAACTCAATGATGTGAAACAACCTTGTGAAAATGAAACAACTTTGTGAAAATGGGCAAAAGGGTTGAACTCAAGTAACCAAAGAGATACAGATAGGAAATAAGCACGTGTAGTGATGTGCTCAGTAAAGATATGCTCAGCACAGCGTGTGTGCTCGGTCACTCAGTCACATCCAACTCTGCGACCCCACGGACTGTAGCCCACCAGGCTCTCTGTCCATGGGATTCTCCTGGTAAGAATACTGCAATGGATTGCCACTTCCTCCTCTGGGGGATCTTCCGGACCCAGGGATATTCCCTGTGACCCAGGTATCAAACCCGCATCTCCTGTGTCTCCTACATTGCAGGTGGATTCTTTATAGCAGAGCCACGGGGGCAGCCTGCTTAGTGATGCCGTTATTAGTTTGAAAACAGTACGGAGATACCATTCCATACCTATTAGAATGCAAAAGGATGAAAAGTGACAATGCTAAGTGCTGACAAGTGTGTTAAATAATTGGAACTCACTCATTTGAGAGTGAGAACTGGCACAGCCATTTTAGGAAGCTGTTTGGCAGTTATTTAAGATCTTAAGCGTATACTTAGCATATAATATAGAAGTTGCACTTGTGGATATTTACTCATGAGAAATGAAAACATAACATGCAAAGCTAGAAATAACTCAAATGTCCATTAATTGGTATATGGAGAAATAAAATGTAATATCGTTCCATAAAATGAAAATACTGCTGAGCAGTAAGTGGAATGTTGTTATAAATGCAACGACATGAATGAATCTCAAAGCTTTATGCTGAGTGAAGGATGCCAGAAACAAAAAACTATCTTCTATATGATTCCATCTATATGAAATTCTAGACAAGACAAACTATAGTGAAAGGAAACAGATCAGTGGTTGAGTGGGACCCGGACCTGGAGGGTAGGGACTGATTTTGTAAAGGAACGCGTAGGGTACTAGAAATATTTAATATCTTGATAGTAGTGCTATCATGTGGTGTCATGGCTGTATATGTTTGTTAAAATTCATTTAAGTATACATTACAGCCGGTGATTATTATTGTAATTCATATAATTTGGTATGTCTAAATAATACTGATTTTTAAAAACAAACTAAAGCAAAAAAATGATGCAGAGATGGTAAAGATAAACGGATGGTTAAAGATAAATAGAACATGAACAAATGTATTTGAGAGATTTCAAAATTCAGTGATAGTCCATGAAATGTGAAATTCCATGAAGTAGATTTTTTAAATTATAGTATGACAAAACTAGAACAACAAAAATTTTACATTTATAAATTACTTGGTAATGTAAAATCTGTCTCGTGAAGCGATTAGCAAGAAAAAGGAAATACAAACCACAAAAACAGGAATTTAAAAAGTAATGAAACTATCGTCGCAATAGAATTGTGGAATGCTACCAAAGATACTCTAAGGATTGTATTTAAAATGATGTTATTAGTACAAAGGTTGACAGATCAGTGGAAGAGAGTAAATAAACCTCTTACGAGCTTCATCTGATGAGCTTCCCCAGGGTTTCGTTTTCAAAATCCTTTCTTCTAGACTATAATTCTTTCTCCTGTTTCTAATTTTTGGTTATCTTTTCCCATTTATTAGTGTGCTCACAGTTTACATTGATTGCCACTACGTTTCTGGTACTGCGAAAACAGAAAAGTTAGCATTTGCTCTGTATTGATGTAATGGAAATTCAAGGTTATTAAGTATGACTGTCTTCAGAGAAAGAAGACAAAAGTAAGTTTCTGAACAGATTATCATTGATTTTCCTTATGTGAGGCAATACAGGATTGAACTTTGGGTTTTCTTTTTTAAGTAATTTCTGAATTTTTTTCTATTTTACAATTTTCTGTTTTTTTTTTACTGTTTTATGGATCTGTTGCTTCTAGAAACAGAACATGTGAAAATAAACCTTTAAGAAGATACTTTTATTAAATTTGATTAGGAAAGATTTTTGGAGGATATGGCTTCAGAATTTATCCTTAAGGAATAGGTAAAATTTGGAAATATATTTTAGGTGAGCAGAAGAGTCTTAAAGATGGTAAAATATTGGCTATGTGGTGGGATACATTTTTCCATCTTTTCACATATATTAGACATTCTAACTACTTTGAAACATGCGGGTTTTCAGTAATTGAACTTCAGTCATTTCTGGGAGAGTTCTTTGACTTCAGTCTTTTATCACTATGGTTCTACCCATTCTGTTTTTGAATGCATCTCTTCAGCTTTTATTTATGTCACTCAAAATTTCAGTTCTAACATCCGCAGTTGTTTTTCATCTCATATCTTTTTGAATTTCTCAATACTAATTCTGCTTATTTTAGATTATCTTGTTCATGCTGTTGGTGGTTCTTCCCTGTTAATTTTCTCTTTTATTGGGTTTGGTGAACTCTTCCTCCTTGATTCTGCTATTGTCCCTCAGTGTTAGTTTTCCGCTGTTAGTCATCTTTGTATTTGAGAATTTTTCTCCTGCCTGTTGGTGGTTTTCAACATAGTCTGCTTCCGCTGTTGGTGAGGGTAGTACCGGCCTGAGACATGAAGCTATGTCTACATGTTCCGCTGTTTTGTTCTCTGGGTAAAGTCACCATGTAACGCAACTGGAGGAGGGGAACGGAGCTGCCCTCCCGACCCCTCAGCTGGTCATCCTCAGGCTTATCCCTTCTTTTCGTATTCCTTGCCTGAGCTTATGGCTTCCCCAGAACCAGCCTTTTCTCTGCAGAAGTCGTTTCCTACAGGCTGTGGTTTTCTCTGGTAGTTTCTTAATGGATTTCTTAATGGATCTAATCCTGCCTGTTTTTCACCCTTGGGGAATTTCTCAAAATATTTATTTTATTACTAGTAACATTCCTTTTTGATTTCTAGCATTATTTTCTGTTTATTTCTTATTTTAAATAATTTTGAATGGGAAAGTTATTAATACAAGTATGTGCTTAGTCTGTCATTTGATTTAACTTGATAATATTTAATACTTAGCAGCCTTTTCAGTGATATGTTTGGACTAATTGCAGAATAATCCTAGAGCTATAAACCTTTGGTTTTTGAATTTAATTATGAAGCAAGATAAATGACCTGTGTGGGTTTTCTATTAGAGTACATGGAATACTTTCTAGCAATTTCACTGATATCTCTTAATTAGGTTAGAGTATGGATCATTTTTCCAGAGGAAACTAGCGTTTGAGATTTGAGCAGTTAATTCACTTTTAAAAAGTCATTAACATGTTCCCCATGTTAGTTAACTCATTCAATCTGAATTTATTCTCAAGATTGCTGGTCTAAGACTGAGAGAATAAGCAGGAAAACGCCCACCGCAGGCCCTAGAATGTGTCACAGTCCTGGAGTAAAAAGTGAAATATTCTTCCCAGTGTTGCATATTGTGAAACAGGCAACATGATTTTCTCTTTGAGAACTAAACTGTGCTTAGCTGACTCTCTGTTATTATGTCGTCTTCTAGCTTGATGCTGTTACAAGCAATCTTCAGAAAATCAGGGAAACTAAAAGTGATGATATAACTGCTGTTAATACTAAGAACCCAGAGAAGCACATGCGAGTGACTAAAAACAAACCAAGGGATCCGCAGTCAGCAACTGAAGATCCAGAAAATGATGTTAGTGTGGAGGACACCAAGCAAGAAAAGGCAAGTAAGAAGGTTACGAAAAGAGCGCTTCAGGTGACTGCACAAGAGATGGAGCCAGAAGCTCCTGAGAAGGGAGATGCAACACCTCAGAAAACACAGACTAAGCCACAGCCTGGCGTCACTCATGACAAAAGTGAAAAGGCCAAGGAGGAAGGAGAAAAGAATAGTTTAGATGAGGAACAACTGATGCAAGTGTACCAGCTGCAAGCAGCTGAAGAAATGGCAAAGGAGATTAAGAAGAAAATCCGAAAGAAACTCAAGGAGCAGTTGTCTTACTTTCCCTTAGATTCTTCATTGCATGATGACAAATTGAGTGGTGAAAAAAGAAAAAAGAAAAAAAAGAAAGTTCCCATCTTGTCTAAATCTGAAACAAGGTATGTTTCATTGATAAATATACAATGTCCTCTTAAAAAAACACTATTTTCAGCTTTTGAGTGATACTTGGAGTTTTGTTACTAAGTCCAAGCTCATAGTGCTTGCCTCACAAGAGGCAAATAATTGAGAGAGACCAGTTGTTGGGGCAATGAATGGGAACTTTATTCAGAAAGCCAGCAAATTCAGAAGATGCTTCATGCCCCAGATAACCATCTTGCCTGAGATAGAATTCAAGCTCCATTTGAGGAGGAGGGAGTACTAAATACTAAAAGGAGAGGGAGTCAAGTCAAACACTTTCTGGTTCCCATAAGCCTCCAGAGAGGATCTGTTAATTTCTTCCTCCCTGCAGTCATTCACAGGTGGACCTGGTAAGGATGTTTCCTGTGAGCTAAACAAAGGTATTTTAGCTTAATTCTCATTACTTGGGGAGCAGCGTTTCCAGAGATGGGCCATTATGTATAATTTAAGCACACAGGCAACATCCTTTTAATGATTAACTTGTAATAGAATACAAAAGGTTCTTCCTGTTATAATCCCCCCTGTTGGTGTCCATACCACAATCTTGCGGGATGAGGGACAAAGACCATTCTGTTGAATGGAAGTGACAGATTTCCTTAGACTCTTCAGTCAGTCCTTTTTGAAATCTTTAGTCAGTCCTATTTGAACCCGATGAAACCTCTCACCACTTTGTTGTCTAATTCATAATAACTTGTGGTTTTGGTTCTAGTTCCCAATACTTATATCAAATTCCTATGTTGTTTATTTGGACAAAACTGAACAATTTGGTTGCCCCTTCCCCAGCTGTAATGGAATTACCATCTACTTCTGTTGGATAGGCAGACCCGTTGGAGGCAAACCAATGAATAGTGTAGTACAGAAGTTTTAGTATAATTGGCAAATACTAGGTCTTTTAGAACTCTTAGATATGTGCCCCTACCTGGGCAGATACCTGGATGGCCTGCTACTGCTACTGCTAAGTCACTTCAGTCGTGTCCGACTCTGTGCGACCCCATCCCTGAGATTCTCCAGGCAAGAACACTGGAGTGGGTTGCCATTTCCTTCTCCAATGCATAAAAGTGAAAGTGAAGTCGCTCAGTCATGTCCGACTCTTCGCGACCCCATGGACCGCAGCCTACCAGGCTCCTCCGTCCATGGGATTTTCCAGGCAAGAGCACTGGAGTGGGGTGCCATTGCCTTGTTCGTGGATGGCCTACCATACAGTATTTTAAAGGTGCTTCATTTAAGCCTGCTTCTGGGAGCCATTGATCCATAGCAGGGCAACTGGCAAGGCCTTATGCTAAGTTAAATGTCTCTCGACATTAGTATTTTAGCGACATTTATGGTTTTTCCTGTTGATTGTGGTCTCCAGGATGAATAGTTTTAATGCTTATCCAAATCAGGATGATTTCCCAAAGGAGCGCTTTCAGAGAGTCTCTATTCATGGAATACACTTCTACCCACCCTGAAAAAGTGTCCACAGCAACACTATCAGGTTATCTGAGATTTCTTGCAATTGGGGTATTTAAGTGACATCTCTTTTTCAGTGCGGGGGGTGGGAGCAGCTTCCTCTGTGTTGAGTCTCCATCTGGATGACAGGAGTCTGGGATTTTTCTAAGGTCTTGGGGGAAAGAGCTCTGTGTCCTTTTCAGGGCTTTTTATGAACTGTAGATTTCCAACATTCTGATGGGACTCTGTCAAACTTTTCTGGTGAAAAACTTCTCCAGAATGAGGTCTATTAGAAAATTAATCAACTTATTCCCCACTGTCAATTTTACCTGGAGTTCCTGTGGGGAATTCAGTGCCTCAAGTACAAGGGAACCCTTGGGCCACTTCATTCAGAGTGTCCCTCTCTGCCACGTAAGAAGCTCTCATCTTTTGTTGTTCTTCTATTTCAGCCTAGAGCAGTTTCTGTTTTCCAAAGTTCTTCCTCCTTACTACAGTAAGCACATCATTCCTTCGCCAGTGGGGACTTACCTCTCATCCAGTTACTCGCCTTCTGGGAATCCAGTGCGAAATGTTCATTCCAAATGTTCCATCTAATTTTTATAACTGTCTCCTGATATCTGAGGCACTTTGCCCCAAAGGGTCAAATTTGCCATTCTGATATTTTCAGGGGCCTCAGAATCTGCATCAGTTTGATGTCTGTAGGTCTGATAAATCCTTTCCAAAAGTTCAGAGAGGTCTTCATTTGTTTTGCTGAATTTCTTGAATATTGTTCAAACCCTTTTGCTTTGGTTTCCCTCTTCAAAGCCCTGCCGAGATGCACTAACAAGTCATGCTCTGCTAAGGGCCTCCCTCGCTGGGATCCTAAGTCGGTTCAGCTGTGGGTGCTCAAGTGTGCTTCATGTATAGAGGATCCTCCCTATGAGAAGGGTTGCAATCTTGGGAGGGTTGGGATCTTTCCAATTAAACAAGTCTGAGAAACCCAGCCAGCTGTTTGTTTACATTTAAGCTCCCTACTAGATAACGGCATAAGGGAAATTACCCTGTTCCCATAGTAGCTTCTGGCCCAATCGGGTGCCCTGTCTGGTCTTAAATGGCAATATCTGAACAAGTCCCTCTCCGCCAGAAACTAACACAGGATTTTCTAACTGATCCCTGTAAGGAGGGGAAGTCCTGAGCCCCAGTGTCAGAAATTGGGACTGGGTAGGAATGGGAGACGGTGGAAAGGGTGGATGTAATGGCATAGTGGCCAGATTGGCTGGGTCAGTTAAGGTTTGAGGAATTAAGGTTTGAAGCAACATATCCTCACTTTCCTTCCCTTCCTTTTTCTTCTTTTCTGATAATAGTACAGATGCTTGCACATAAAGGATTATCATTCTTCCCTAATTTTTCACAAAATACCTGTAGAGTCATTTGCAATGCTCTGTGAAATAGCAATTTATCATAAAAGGATACCTTTTTGCTTTAGTATCAACCAACTGGGATTATAACATGCATTTGAATAGAAACCTGATTAATGCTATGACAGACAGTTTAAGACAACACTGAAATTATGATTAATATCATTTACCAGGATATACCAGAATGTTAGGAGCTTTATATAATTTATAGAATATGAATATTAATAACATTCACCCATGTGATACAGTCTAAGAAGTGTTAAGTGTTATTTATTCAATAATGCTTCCCATGGAATTGAACATGCCAGATAAGCCCAGTTAGTTCTATAACCCTCTCTTAGATGGAGAGAAATAATTTGAGGTGTTCCAGAGACCCTCTTAAAAACTCCAAAGTTAGCCAGAGGTCAGATGAACTCCACTTAAAACTTGATCTTTTTGGAAGTTTGTTTAAAAATATCAAAAGTTCACCAATGATGATTAAAGATCTCAATGGCAAATACAGATCACTTAAAGAAACTCATAATTACCAAAAGTAGTTCAAGATTTTAGTAAAACTTTTTATCCTCTTAGAGAAAGAAATTCAGGTTTTTACCACTTTACCTTTAAGATTTCTTAATTAAGTTCAGTCTTACCTTAAACTTGGTTTAGTTTCAAGTTATGAAAATCTGGAGAGACTATTCTAGATAGACATTTCCAAAATATTATTCCCATAGTGTTTACTCCAGACCTCTTTACTTCATTTACTTATATTTACTTAAAGCTTTGTCCCATTATTTTACTTTCTGATAAACTTTGTAACAGGAATAAGGTATTTTTGATTTCTAGTGAGCCTACAGGTACAACGAAAGTATTGTACTTAATGTTGATGCCTCTAAAGACATGTCTATATAAAAACAAGTTTAAGCTAACTTTTCATACCAGATATTATTTCCATACCAAGTGTTTCCTAGATCATGTGAACCTGAAACTCATTCTGGCCAGTTCATTGTATTTGAGTATTTGTGTAAGCACTTAATTCCATTAAGCCAATTAAACAGTGTCCCTTTACAAATTAATTTTGGCAGTGCCATGCATCTGTAACACATGTGCAAACACACAAACACAGAGGCCTCATAGTTCCCATTCCAGAATTTTAGCCGTGAATCTGATAGAACAGTGTAAGACCCAGTTGTAAAAGAGGGTAGATTCAAATTGGGTTTCTGGCAGACAGAACCAATCAAGGTCACCTGTCTACATGGTGAAACCGTTTTACTAATATTTATGGAAAAGACGCTGCTGTTTCTATGTGTAGTTTTTGGTGACTTCAGGAGCCAAGTACAACTCCTTTTTCCTTGGAATATCCCACTCTTGGACAGAAACAGATTTTTTTTTTCCTGTTTATTTTCCCCATTTCATATCAGTAAAAGTTTTAAGTATCACAAAACTGATTTGGCTATAAATGGAGAAGCAAAAGCACAAAAGATGAAACAAAAAACCCAAAGAACAAACAGAAAATCCTCAATAAACCCTCAAGTTTGGTCTTGGGAGTCTTACATGTACTAACAACATAATAAATGACCAAAAATGACATAATTAACATAGCAAGAATAGCAGTATGTGGTGCACAGTGTCCCAAGATGAAGATCTTTAAGAGGTACTGTGGCCACAGGTTGTTACAATAAGATATCATTTTCCTTTCACCCATGGGTTCAGAGCTGTAATGGGATCCCATTCCCAAAATGCACTTCAGAGGACTTTCTTTAGGGATAGATGAAACATTCCATCTTTTCCAAGACAAACAAAACACAAACAAATGCTAACATACAAAGAAACCCACAAACCGATTCACAACTCAGGTAAAAGTCCTACAGTTTTTCCTCTCCCCAGTGGAATACCCCACAAAATAAATTGGCTTATTCTTGAGAAAAAAAAAAGCCCAAAGGTGGGGAGGGAATGCAGTTCCTGGCTGTCCACACTGGAGTGACTTGCCCTACCATATGGAGCCCATCAGCTCCCAAATGTTGGTTCCTTGCTTTAGTTGCCAGGTATTGGGGCAGCCAGTGCCACTTCAGGGAATTTTGGAGGTCAGATCCTCAGGACAGGTGGTCTCAGCAGCTACAAGGCTCCTGGCTGGCTTCACCAAAATTTGTTACCGAGCTTAAGCTTGTACTGCTCACTGCGCAACAGACTGATAATTGGTAGACAGGTTGTTGGGGCAAGGAATAATTTCTTTATTTGGAAAACCAGCAAACTGAGAAAACAGTTGACTCATACGCCCCAAAGAACCATCTTGCCTGAATTAGAATTCAGGCTCCTTTTATACTGAAAGGGGAGGGAGTAAAATCAAACACTTCCTGGTTCCCATCAGCCTCCAGACAGGGTGTGTTAATTTCTTCCTCCCTGCAGTCACTCACAAATGGACCTGGTCACGATGTTTCCCTGAGCTAAACAAAGCTTAATGCTCATTGCTTTAGAAGCAGGATTCCCAGTCAGGCCATTATGTATAATTTAAGCTCACAGGCAACATCCTTTAGTGATTAACTTGTAGTAGAATACAAAAGGTTCTTCCCTGTTACAGTTTCGGAAAGAAGATGTTTAGTCCTCCTTTGGGACATGTGTATTCTGCACGCCCAATTGCTCAGTCATGTCCGAGTCTTTGAGACCCCGTGGACTGTAGTATGCCAGGCTTCTCTGTCCAGGCATTTCCCAGGCAAGAATACTGGAGTGGGTTGCCATTTACTACTCCAGATCTTCCTTTCCCCAGAATTGAATCTGCATCTCTGGCATCACATTGGAAGATGGATTTCTTATTACTGCACCACCTGGGAAGCCTCTTTTGAACACATGGTCAGTAGAATACTCACAGCTAACCTTTATGTGTCCCCTTCTTGGGTGCTTAATGCTTTACAAGGAATATGTGCTTTTCCCCTTATGACAACTCTGTCAAGAATAGTAATATCATCCTATTTTGCATAATTACACTCTTTATTTAGTTATAAATACTTGTTTAGATATATAAAAATAATGTTTTCTCCTTATTTTACAAATAGTATTTATTCACTATAGAACATACAGACACAAAAAGGAAAACATAAGTAATCCAACCATCCAGAGATAATCACTGTTAGCAATTTGGTATTCCTTTAGTCTTTTTTATATACAGTGCTTATATGTATATGCTTACTTATACAATGTGAGTTTCTGTGAGTAGATTCTTATATATTATGTCTCTCCTTGGGGTAAAGAAGGTAAAAACTATCTTTTAACTACTGTAAGTTTGTTTTTTGTGATCTACATCTGGATAAACAACTTGAGATGGAAATAGTCTGATATTCTCTGATATTCAGGGTCAGTTTCCTTAATGTCCTATTCTAAAAATAGTTCCCCTCTTATTAAAAGCTAGACAACCTGTTGTAACAAAGAGGGCAAACAGAGTTGCTAACAGGCACATGCTTTAAAAGTTACCCCAGACTTCAACAGCTCAGAACAGCAAACATATAGTCTCCCAGTTTCTTTGGCTCAGGATCTGAGTGGCTTAGTGGGTGTCTCTGACTCAGAGCCTCTCACAGGCTACAGTCAGGATGTTAGCCTGGGCTGCAGTCATCTCAAGGCTTGGCTAGGGGAGGATCTGCCAAGTGACATGCCGGTTGGAAGATCTGGATGGTCCAGTGCTAAACTCACTCATGTGGCCATTAGCAGGCTTCAGATCCTGACTGGCTTTTGGCCAAAGACATCAGGTCCTTACCACGTGAACCTCTTCACATGGGCTGCTCACAGCAGGGCCACTTGCTTCCCTTGAGCAAGGGCTCTGAAAGAGAAAAAGCGAGACCAAAGTCACAGTCTTTTGGGAACCCAATCATAGCAGTGGTGCCAATTACTTTTATCATGGTCTGTCTATTAGAAGTCAGTCACTTGGTCAGTCCACAGTCAAGAGAAAGGATTACAGGAAGATATGAGCATCAGGGGGCTTCCCTGGTGGCTCAGTGGTGGAGTCCACCTCCCAACGCAGGAGACGCAGGTTTGATCCCCGGATCGGGAAGATCCTCTGGAGGAGGAAATGGCAACCCACTCCAGTATTCTTGCCTGAGAAATCCTGCGCACAGGGGAGCCTGGTGGGCTACAGTCCGTGGGGTCACAAAGAGTCAGACGTGCCTTGGTGACTAAACAGCAGTGTGAGTATTAGGAGGCATGGATCACCGGAGGCTACCTGAAAGACTGCTTACTGCAGTACGCCATAAATCTTATTTCTTCACAGTTACCGTATCTGTTATGAACTGTAAGTCATACTCACTCTTAGTAAGATCAGTTTATGAATTTTAAACAACACCATGCTTTACATGACAAAGACATGCAAAGGATAGCTGCTCTCTTTAAATAACAGTATTTGATGATATGATGAAATAACATGACTTTCTAGAATGACTGCTTTGAAATATTTCTTTACTCTTTTTTTCCCCCATTTATTTTTATTAGTTGGAGGCTAATTACTTTATAATACTGTAGTGGTTTTTGCCATACACTGACATGAATCAGCCATGGATGTACATGTGTTCCCCATCCTGACCCCCCTCCCACCTCCCTCCCCATCCCATCCCTCTGGGTCTTCCCAGTGCACCAGCCCCGAGCACTTGTCTCATGCATCGAACCTGGGCTGGTGATCTGATTCACCCTTGATAATATACATGTTTCAATGCTATTCTCTCAGATCATCCCACCTTTGCCTTCTCCCATAGAGTCCAAAAGTCTGTTCTGTACATCTGTGTCTCTTTCTCTGTCTTGCATATATTTCTCACCCCCTTTTTGAAATATGACTAAATATATTGGAAGTCAATTTTTGATTATTAGATGCAGATTTCTTTTTTATTTGGTAAGTCACAAACATTAATAGGCTGATTTCTCCTTACAACTCAGTGTGCTTCTAGGCTGCTACCCTTTACCATTTAGTATTAATAGTTTATGTGATGCACATTTTATTTTTAATGATAGTCTTCTGAAAACATAATGGCACATAAGCCACTGGAAAACACAAGCAAATAATTTTTACCTAGAAATCAAAAGTTGGATATCTGAAGCCTCTTGAAAACAGAACAAACAAAATTAGAACACTTTTTTTTTTTGCTTTTAAATAATCTAGAGATTTGTTCATTATTCATTTACTTGGCAGTAGAGTGAGGATGATTTTATCAATCCTAAATAAAAACAGATCCATTGATCATATCATTTTCCCCAGGAGTTTAGACATGAGTTTATTTGACTCAAGGGTAAATTAGTACACATAATACTTAGTTTGACAGCTAACCATTTCAGTGTGTAAGAAAATATATGTATCTCCCAGCAGAAAATAATACTGATTTTAGGATTATCCTTGCCTCGATTTGCTGTTAACTTTGCTGCAGGGTAATAATAATAATTATACAATTCCAGTGGCTTGAACTTGGATTATATTTGCAGTACATCGATCATCTCTGATGACCCAGTTGAAGGTGAACAAAAGAAAGAATCTCCAGTTGAAGCAGTTACTTCAAATACTCATCAAGATGATGAAATGAGCTCAAAGGAACAAAATGTAGAAGACAACATGCAAGATGACACAAAATCCAAACTGAAAAAAAAGAAAAAGAAGGCTAAAACAGGTTTGTTATCCAAATTAAATGAAAAATGAAAATACATTTTGCCTTGGTAGAAATAACTTGATTCAGGGACTTTTAGTCCTTAAAACTAAAGAAAATCTAGTCCCAAATGGTATAATTGAAAACATAATCTGATACAGAATATTTGATACTTATGCTTAGATTTGTCTAGATTATAACATTCATTTATTTGTATCTGTGGATCTCTGTGTGACTTAGTCTTACTTGAGTCATCATTAGTAATGTTGTAGTTGCTATTGTGACACAGATTTCTTCTGTATGTTATTGCCCCTAAATAATTAAGACAGCATTGAAAACTGTAAATGGTCAACAGCCAATAAACATTGCAGATTAAGTCTGTCAAACATGCTGTCTTCACAGTTTCTCGTAATTCAGCTTCTTCCTGCCCACTTTTTTATTTCACCTCTTGCTTTCTACATTCCTTTCTGCTCATTTCTTTTATCTTATTTTTCATTACTTATTCTTGACTTTTTTCTGCTTCTTACATTTTCAGTTTTTTTTTTCTTTTCAATTTCCATTTAATTGGCCAAAAATTGGGATTAAAAAATGGGCAATTTTAGAATTTATGGTGCTTATTCATGCAGTTGATGGTGTTTTGTGGTTCCAGTAATTAATTTTTTAAAAATAAAAGTGTATGTATTGTATGTATACTACTTAGTTCATTTTCACAAACTGGACATGTCTGTAAAGTCATCATCCAACTCAAGAACCAGATCATTAGCACTCAGAAGGCCCCACAAACTCCCTTCTAATTCGTTGTCCTACAGGAGTGCATCTATTTTAACATCTAACACACAGTTAACCTTCCCTGTTTTCTATTTTAAGATAAATATTTAGAATTATAAATACTATGTATGTGTGGCTTTTTTTGCTGCAAATTATCTTGTGTGAGATTTATACTGTTGTTGCATGCACTTGAGCTTATGCATCATCAGTCCTGTTTTTGTACTATGTAGCTATCCATTGTGTGAATATATCACAATTAATTACCTATTCTATTGATTAACATTTGAGGTGTTGCTAGTATAAGCGATTATAAGTAAAGCTATAATGAACATTCTGGTCACATTTTTTAATGAGCATGTATATACATTTTTTGTTGTTGTTGGATGTATTCTTAGAGTTGCTATGCCATAGAGTATATATATATTTTTCACTTTAACAGATACTTCTTATTTTCCACACTTGGGTTATCAGTATTTGAGTTTCTATTGCTCTACATCTTCACTAACATTTATATTGTCAGTATTGTAAAATTTTAGTCATTCTTATAAGTGTTTAGTGATTATTCCATTTTGATTTTGATTTGATTTCCGTGGTAACTAGTGCAGTTGAGCATCTTATTCATGTTTATTGACTACTTGGATTCCTTCATGGTAAATTTGTTCAGGTCTTTTGTATAATTTTTTAAGAAAAGGAATTGTCTGCCTTTTTCTAATTAAATTGTGAGAATGTTTTATATGACTAGATAACAATTTTCTCATATATATATAAGAATATATTTGCCATATATATGTATATCACAAATATCTTCTCTCTCTGGGTTTTATTATTTTTCTCCTACTGGTATTGATATCTTTTGTAAAACAAAATTTAAGGATTTTATATAGCCCAATGTATTCTATGTTTTTCCCTTTGATTATAAGTGCTTTCTGTGATATAAGAACTCTTTCCCAAGTCCTGAAGGTGTTTCTCTATATATTATTTTCTAAAAGATTTTTGTTTCAGTTTTCACTTTTAGATTTGCAGTTTACCTGGAATTTATTTTTATGTATGGGGATAGGTAGTGGTCCAGACCCATTATTTTCTCATATATGAATATGTACTTGATCTAATACCATTTACTGAAGTGAGCATCTTTGCCCCTGCATTTCAGTGTCACTTTTATCATGAATAACGTGACTGTGTAAGTTGGTCAGTTTCACTAATCTCCATTCTTAGATGGTTTACACTAACATCACTACCATGTCTTAGATAAAATAGCTTTATAATAGATATTGCTGTTAATAATGATAGTTTTATTGCTTCTTTTTTTATTCTTATGTCTTATTCCTTATTTTTACCTTGATACACTGCCTAGAAATTTGATTATAGTGTTAAATAGAAGTGGTAATAACAAATACTCTTCTCTAGCTGCCAGCCTTAGGGGAGAGCATCCATTATTTTACCATTGAGTGTGACTTTGCTATAGACTTTTTTGTAAATACCCCTATTGGATTATTCCTAATTGGCTAATAGTTTTTATTTTTCTTTTAACCATAACCATTCATAGATACTGAATTTTATCAAATGCCTTTTCTGCATCTGTTAACATAATCATATTAATTTTTACCCTTTTTTCTATTAATGTGATTGTTATTTGATTATTAAGTTATCTTTGTGTTCCTGGCAGAGGTGGGGGAGGCACCTACTTTGTTGTGATGTATTAGCTTTTTTTTTTTCTAATGTATTACTGGATTTGATTTGCTGATACTTTGTTAAGAATTTTTGTACCTGTGTTCATGAGAGAGATTTGTTTGTACTTCTCTTTTGTTGAAATACCCAGAATTAGCATCAAAGTTTTGGTGGTCTTAAAAAGAATTGGGAAATATTTTCTTTTTCAATTCTCTGTATTTGTATAAACTGATGTTATTTCTTCCTTAAATGTTTGGAAGAATTTGCTAATAAATGTGCTTAGGCCAAGATTTTCTTTGTGGGAAGAATTTCAAATCAGATTTAGTTTCTTTAATAAATATCAGATTCTTCATATTTTCTGTTTCTTCTGTCAGCTTTGATAGACTGTATTTTTGAGGAATTTGTCCATTTAATATGGATTTTCAAATTTTGTAGTCTATGGCATCTGAAAGGGTACCCCTTGATACTGGTAATTGGATTTCCTTCGATTTCTTTATCAGTCTCAGGATTTTCAATTTATAAATATTTTTAAAGGACCAACCTCTAGCTTTTATTATTATTCTATCATAGATTTGTATATAATTTTAGTGATTTCTTCTGTCTATATTATTTCCTTTTATAGCTTTCCTTGGGTTTGATTTGCTGTTGATTTCTAACTTTATAAGGATTGTATAAGATTTAAGTCATCCTTTGCTTCTAATACATTAAATGACCATCTAAGCACTACTTTATCTGCATCCCACAAATTTTTGATATGTTCTATATTCTTATCATTCCATAAAAGTATTTCCTAATTTCCATTTAAATTTCTCCTTTGATCACTCATTATTTAGGAGTGTTTTGTTTAGTTTCAGGCAGCAGGTGATTTTCTAGTTATCTTTTTGTTTTGGGTTTTATCTTCCATTGTTTTCAGAGAACATATTGTGAATTATTTCAATCTCTTGAATTTGCTGAGGCTTTCTTTATGACCACCTTATGATGAGTTTGGTAAATAGGCCACGTGCACTTGAAAAGAATGTGAATTCTGATGTTGTTGGGTATGGTGGTGTCCTGTGTATGTCAGATCAAGTTTATTGTATTCTCATCTTATTGATGTTTTTGTTTTTGGTCCGCTTATTCTATCAGCTATTGAGCTGAGTGTTAAAGTTTCTAGTATTCGTCTTCATTTCTGTTTTTGTTTGTGTCATTTTTCTCTTTGTATATTTTGGAGTTTTGTTACTGAATGGATATACATGCTTAGGATTATTTTATCTTCCTATCCAATTGACACTTTTGTCATTGTTATGGTCCATTCAAGCTGCTATAACAAAATACCATGACTGGATGCCTTAAATTGTAAACATTTATAACTCATGGTTCTGGAGGCCAGGAAGTCCAAGATTAGGGTGCTTGCAGATTCCATGTGGAAGGAGCAAGAGGGCTCTCTGGGTTCTGTTTTATAAGGGTACTAGTCCCTTATGATCTAATCATCTTCCGAAGGCCCAACCTCTTATTACTATCACATGGAAGGTTAGGATTTTAGCATGTGAATTTTGGGGAAACATAGGCATTCAGTCTGTAGTAATCAATATACGGTGTCCTTTTTAGTCTCTAATGATTGACTCTCCATTGTGGTCTGAGTTTGCATGGAACACTTTTTCCTTTCCTCATTTCTCCGTCGTCTTCCACAGTGTGCCCCAAGTGGTGCCAGCCTGGTTGAGGAGGGCAGCCTTCAGACCTGTGCTTGGTCCGTGGGCTCCAGGTCCAGGTGGGGCCCAGCAGCACTCCTTTCTTCCGGCCCCGCATCCCCGGGGCTCCCTGCCGGTGCCGCTTTGCACAGCCTTTGTTTGAGCCACTTTGTGTCCATATGCCTTTCTTTTTTGCCATCGCTGGTTTTCTTCCCCTACTCCGGCACAAGTGGGGTCTCAGCCCTCAGGCAGTGCACTCCTTAGGGACAGGTCCCAGTAAATATGAAGTGTTCTTGTGCCCCACTCCTGGGTATCTTCTTGTTGATGATCTTTCTGTGCCCTTATGTTTATCATCTCACTGTTAGTTTCTCTGTACCATCTAAGTGTTTTATGTTCCTTATTCTCCTTGGCTTCTTTTGAGTTGTTGAGGTTACTTTTAAAGATTTGCTCCTTCTATTAACTTATTAATTTTACATTCTTCTACTTTTTTTTTTTTTTTTGCTCATGCTCTGAGAGCATTAAGTTTATTCTTGACTTATGGTCTAATACAAACTAACTCTATAAGAGAATATCTTCTCCAACACTGCTAAAACAGTAGAGTAGTTTGACTCCATTTGAATTTTGTCAGGTAGGTTCTCTGCATCTATCTCCCTCCTGCCTTCTAGTTTCTCACCATGTATCTTAGACCTGCATGTATTTTAAACTTTACAGATTTTACAGTTACCATTTTGTACAGTTGTTATTAATTTATATTCATCCCCAAATTTCCTTTTTCCTTTTTTTTTCCATTTTTTTATCTGCGCTAAGAATTCAGTTTATTCTTTCTTTTAGTGCAGGCCAGCTAATTCACTCAAATTTTGTTGCATTAAAATGCCTTTACCTTCATTTTTGAAGCATGTTTGCTAATATATAATTTTAGGTTGCAGGAAGTCGTATTAATACAGTTGTCTTCTGGGTTGCATCATTTTTTAATCCCAACTGTAATCTTATTTCTGTCCTTTGAAGGGTCTATTGTCTTTTTTTGCCCCTTGGACTGCTCTTTAGATTTTCCGTTTATCTTTGGTTCAGTATTTTATCATGCTGTGCCTAAATATAGCTTTGTTGGAAGTCACCCTGCTTAGAGTTTACTTATTGATATCATTTATCATTTGTGGAAAATTCTTACTCATTATTGCTTTGAATATGGCTTCTTCATCATCCTCTCCTGTTTTTCTAGATATTTATAATTTCACAAACTCTTTTGAGTTTGTCCACATGTTTCTTATGATTTTTCCCTGATGTTCTTTTTTTTTTTTCATTATGCTTTGGTTTGGATATTTATAATGATTTTTCTTCTGGTTCACTAATCATGCCTTCCTTTCCATCCAATATGCTTTTTTAGATACATCCATTGAATTCCTAATTTCAGGCAATATATTTTTCAGTTCCATAATGCCTGTTTTTTTTAAATCAATTTCTATTCTCTATAGAAAGTCTCCATTTTTAAAAATTACTTTGTCCTTCTTTCCCTTTATTTCTTGAGCATATTAATCATAGTTATTTAAAGTCCCTGTGTGCTAACTCCGGTACACATCATCTGTGGGTCTTTTGTGTTTTCTCTTGGATATTGGTCATATAGTCTTGTCTCTTTTATGTCTAGTAACTTTTTTGTTACATGCGGGACATTGTATGTAGAATTCCAGAGTTGCTGAATGATTTTATCTTCCACTAAATAGGGTTTTCTCTTTCTACTCTTAGGCAGACAGAGTGGACAACTAATTTCAACTAATCTAATCTAGGTCAGATCTGTGTTGTAGTTTTGGTAAGACCCTATCTCATATTTGCCCAGTTCCTAGGATGTGGCCTTCCAGGTGTTTCAAATTGAGAGTCTGGCAGATATTTGCCTTGTTAGCCCTTGAGAACTTGGGGAGAGTCAGTTTTGCCTTTCAGAGGTTTTCAGCGTAGTCCTTTAGCCTTCTGCCCCATGCAACTTCAAATTTTGGCAAATCTCTTGAGGGAGAGACTGGCCATGAGGTTGAGGCCCCTCAAGTCTCCTAGTTTTGTCACTGCAGCTCCATGTGAACACCAGAATCTCTGCTGGCTTCTCTGTCCCCCAGTAGGGGCCATGCCTGGATTCTCAACCTCTAGATATGCCCAGAATTGGTAAGTGACCCCAGGTGAAAAGTGGCTGTAGGTGTAAAACCACCATGCCCTCCAGGGCTTCCTCCTGGCCTGCTTTGTTTCAGGCCCTTGCCTCTGGTGAGTCCTTGTTTGCTAAAACAAGACTGGGAGGTTTCACTCCTCTTTAGCCTCTCCCACTGGCCATGTGTTTGAGGCCAGTTTTATCACTTAACCCCGCACAACCACTAAAAATTTTTCTGGTTACTCTTTCTCCCAGTGGTGAACTTCTGCCTTTGTCCTCTCCTCACATCCTGATCAGAAAATGTCCCAGACACTGAAACACCTGCCAGTCTATCAGCTTACCGCTGATTGAGTCTCCTTCTCTGGACTTCTGGTCCATCTACTGTCCGTTGTTTCTGTACTTTTCTGATGCCTTTAAAAATAAGGTTTTTGCAATTTATTTGGCTTTTTCAAGTTGTTTTTTATCAGAAACATTGACCTGCAACATTGCTGCTGCATTCTACCCGGAAACAGAAATTGTAGTTACAAACGATTTGAGTGATACATGTTCTACTTAGAAAATACCTAGATAAAATTACTTTTTTGTCTTTGGCTCTCATTTTTTTATTTCTGTGTTGTTGGTCCTTGTTAGGGAAAACAGAGAAAGATACCTCACCGTATTTTAATGCATTAGTAAATGAAGCGTTTACTCTCAGAGCATAGTCTATTGTTTGGCTTTTTCTTTGTTTTTCCTTGAAGTGTCTTTGTGAACAGAGATAATTAAGCATGGATCATGAGCGTTAAATGATCTGTAAATTCAGTGTTTATTGTTGAGTATATTGTTAGGGGAACAATTAATTATCGCATTGATAACATTGATTTTCTTCCACGCATGTGGTTTCAGGTGATAATGAAGACACTGATGGTGATGGTGTTCATGAAATAACAAGCCGTGATAGTCCAGTTTATCCCAGATGTTTGCTTGATGGTGACCTTGTCCTGGGAGTTTACATTCACCGGACTGATCGACTTAAGTCAGATTTTATGATTTCTCAACCAATGGTTAAAATTCATGTGGTTGATGAGAATACTGGTCAATATGTCAAGAAAGATGATAGGTAATTTTTTAAATTGTACAGCCAATCCTTGAAATTGAAACTGTCTACAGTAGAAGTACTTTTACTGCCACTAACAGTCATTCCCTGATAGCTCAGTTGGCAAGGAATCCGCCTACAGTGCAGGAGACCCAGGTTCAATTCCTGGGTCAGGAAGATCCACTGGAGAAGGGAAAGAATATCCACACCAGTATTCTTGGACTTCCCTTGTGGCTCAGATGGTAAAGAATCTGCCCGTAATGCGGGAGACCTGGGTTCAATCCCTGGGTTGGGAGGATTCCCCTGGAAAAGGGAAAGACTATCCACTCTGGTATTCTGGCCTGGAGAATTCCATGGACTGTATAGTCCATGGGGTTGCAAAGAGTCAGACACGACTGACTGAGTGACTCTCACCTTCAGTTTTCATACTAATTGTAGGTGTTCCTCAACTATTGATATTGATCAATGTGTCTTATAGAAGAAATGAAGTGACTGTGCTAATTGAGTAATTTTAAGTGGAGGGGAGTTGAGAGAGTTTCTCCAAAGCTTAATGACTAATTTATGATATTTAGGTTGCATTGTAAGTCGTCTCATGTTACACTGTAAATCCTTTAGTTGTCTAACCTCATATTTTCATATATATTTTCTTTTGAATATAATGTATTGTCTTTCCCTCAGGTGAGGCAGATGTCTTGAATTTAATTTTTCCTAGTATTTATTTTTTAGCTAATACATGCTTAAAGCCCAAATACAAAGTGTAATAAGTGACTGTACTAGAATTCAGAAATATTATTTGCCTGGAAAAATGGCAGAAATGGGAAACAAGAAAACTATCAAAAAGGTTATTCACTTATTCATTTATCTTGGAGCATAGAAAGAAAATATAACAAACCTTGAAGTACATACATTCCTGTTGTGCTCACATTTTGTTATTTAAATCTAATATACTAACTTATCACAAACTCATTTAATATCCTGAAGGTGTTACTTTATTCTAGCTTTAATGTGGAAAGATAAATCATACCTCTCACTTTATATTTAAATAATGAAATAATTCTTTGAAACTGAGAGTATGTAAATTCAAAATGAACTAAGATACTACTACTTTTCAGCCTCATAAAATTTGTAGCTTTCTAGATACATAAAATATTTTTTCCTTATGTATCATGGCTATTTATTGTTTCTGATCATCTCACCTTGAACACTCTAGTTTTATTTTTTTCTTGCCTTCTCAAAATTACAAAGACTGTGTTAATGGCAGTATCTTTTTTGAACAGTGAACGGCCTGTTTCATCTTACTATGAAAAAGAGAATGTGGATTATATTCTTCCTATTATGACCCAGCCATATGATTTTAAACAGTTAAAATCAAGGCTTCCAGAGTGGGAAGAACAAATTATATTTAATGCAAACTTTCCCTATTTGCTTCGAGATTTTGACGAGAGCCCTAAAGTCATCCTGTTCTTTGAGGTATGAATTGAATAGAGTGTTTAAGTTTTAATTAATATTTTAATAGCACAAATAATTAAGTTTTTATTTTGGGGCTTCCCAGGCACTAGTGGTAAAGAACCTGCCTGCTAGCGCAGGAGACTTAAGAGATCAGAGTTCGATCCCTGCGTCAGGAAGATCCCCTGAAGCAGGACATGGCAACCCACTTCAGTATTCTTGCCTAGAGAATCCCATGGACAGAGGAGCCTGGCAGGCTACAGTCCATGGGATCACAAAGAGTCAGACACAGGTGAAGAAACTTGGCACACAAACTATTATTTTAGTAGATTTGTAATACAAAAAAGTGGTGTGAGAATTTGAGGACAGCTTGATAATATCCATCAGAAGTCCTTAAAGCTGTTATTCCAACTTTTGGTATTTCTTCTAAAGGATAAATGGCAAGTACTTGAAAATGTGTGTAAGGATATTTATTTAAGCACGGTTTGCAATAGCAGAAATTTTAAGGAATTCAGTTCATTTCAGTCACTCAGTCGTGTTCAACTCTGCAACCCCATGAATCGCAGCATGCCAGGAAATAGGTCTCTTCAGTTAACAAGAGGTTTGGTTAAATAAATTATGATTTTTATTAAATTTATGATATTTACATGATATACATATGTATATATTGACTTGAGCTAGCCACTACATATTATATGAAAATAGTTTGCAAAATAGTGTTGGAATACATAGAACAAGATTTAAATACCTGTAAACTTGATGTTAATGTTTGTCAGCTATGAGTCTAGGTTACAAGTTGTTTTTTACTTTGTCATATATTTTTCTTATACTGTCAGTGTTTTTTTCACTGGGAATGTATTACATTGAAGACAAGGTTAAGCATATAAGAAATAGGAATAAATTGGAGTATGTAGTATTTTTTAAGTAGTCTTCTATAGATTTGTTACCTCAGCTGACCTTTTGATAAGCACTAGTAGGTTCAAAGTGGTAGTCTCTGACAAGTACCTAGAACACATGTTGTCTCTGTGGCTGGTTGGTTGGAAATCCATGAAGTTTCATACCCAGACAAGATGGAGATATGAAAGAAAATCTTTTGAGAAGCCTAATAAAAACATATATCTAAAGAGAAAATACCCAACTTAGGAAGTTGATCCCAGGAAGAATCTGCAGATAAGGCCATGAGTTTATTAAACAAACAAGTCTTTGAAGTCTGTGCTCATACATTCAAAAATGAGCAAAGCCTAAGAATTCTATGCCTGGTATATTTTTGCGAGGACTATATTTGAGATAATACTTTGTCTTGAGTTTTAAATAAATCTTAAAAGATTTATTGGTAAAAGGTAAAGTGATCAGAAACAGACCTTACTAACTGGATGAGTTAAAAGTGAGCAAGATGAGATAAAAATATTTTTCTTCTAAGTGAGGGTTTTAAAAATTTTAGTAATATTAGAAAATATTAAATTTTAGATAACCTAATATACTGTGAAATAATTTTTTATGCTTACTTACAGATTCTTGATTTCTTAAGCATGGAAGAAATTAAGAGTAACTCTGAAATTCGAAACCAAGAATGTGGCTTCCGGAAAATCGCCTGGGCATTTCTCAAGGTATGTTTTTCAAATCTTCAAATGTTATGGGTTATTTTTTTTTTCAACTCAGTTTTGTGTCATATAAGGAGTTAGGATAAGGAGGTAAGGTTGCTGTGGTGAAGAGGTGTTAATTCAAACTCAAATGATGTTCATCCAGATTCTTAGATATTTGTTCAGTGCTTAAATGTGTGCCAGATACACTTTATGCTCTGAGGACCCAGCATTAAAAAAAGACACACACAGCCCTGCCTGCATTTATTCAACTCAACAAATTATTTATTGAACCCTTACTATGTGCCAGCCACTGTTCTATTCCGTGAACAAAGAAGATAAACTCCTTGACCTCATGGCCTTCATATTCTAGCAAGAAAAACAGGCATAAAGCAGTTGATCATAGAGCTTAGCATTTATTATAGTTTGTATGAATACTATCAAGATGATGAAAGCATCTGTGGTATCAGGTAAAGGTCTCCCACAGAAAGGACATTGAACCTGATCATGAGCTGGATGGCAGGAATGAGGAAGAGAGAGTTCTAGCTTGGATGCAGACTGTGTTAACCGAAAGAAGGCCACTGAGAATGAAGGACAGAGTTGAGGGAGAAAATGGTGCCTGAAGAGCTGGCTGAGGTAGACAGGGCCTTCATTACACAGGGTCTTTGAGCCCAAGCCGGTGTAGCAACTAGCTACCATTATAGACTTTAAAGAGTCATGGGAAGCCATTTAATGGTTTTAAACAAAAGGGTGAAATAATCTGATTTATTTTTTATAAAGCCTACTTTGCTTTATAAAAAATAAATTTATTTTATTTTATAAAAAATAAATTTATTTTATTTTATAAAAAATAAATTTATTTTTTATAAAGCCTACTTTGCTGGGTAGAGAATGAATTAGAGAGGTCAGAAATGTAAGTACTGGAAATCAAAGTAGAAAATTCTTGCTGTAGTCTAGGTATAAAATCAACAAAGATGAAATATTGTGGATGGATTGATGTTTAAAAAGGGTAAATTTTAATTTCATAATTTTTTAATTCCTGATTTCGAACATAAATTTGAGTTCTGAGAAGTCTTGAGTAATTAACCTGTTTTGTATTATCTTATAAAATTTTTCCATTTGTGCATCCATTAATTCAACAAATATTTACTAAGTATCTGTGAAATGCCAGGCACTCTGTTAAATGTAGGGTATTTGTAGATAAATTAGACACTGTCCTGGCCCTCCAGTTCAGTGTCTATGTAAGCTATTGCCTGTATGATTATGTGCTATGGAGCAGATGCTGTGAACACCCAGGTGAGGCGCTTAATCCAGGCTGGAGTTGAGAGGCTTTAGGAGAAGTGCAGTCTGCTTGCTGAATGGCAGCAGATTGACTGTGGCGAGGAAGTCATTAATTCTAGAGCGGTTTTAGAATCTCTCAGTCCATTGTACCTTCTAAAATCTCCCTTCTATAACCTTTTATACCTTTTTCTAGACCCCATCTCATACTGAATCAAATAAATAAAAACAAAAGACCAAAACGAGTCATGTTCACAGAGTGAATGAACATTGCCACCTTGTGGTCTTACTAGAAACTGCTTTCATTACTTTTATGCTACGGTCTGTGCAGAGCTGCCATATTTACTGTCAGTTGCACTTGGGAAACAGTGTATTTCACAACATTTTTATCTTTTAAGTGTTGTAGAGATTTTTATTTACTTATTAATGCAATCAGAGGTAAAGGGTACATGATTGTATGTGCATCCTCTGTTATAAACGTATATATCTTTCATTAGACTGTAAGTTTCCAAGTCACTGGCAATTCTTTTTGGCCAATTTGTTGAACATATTTTGGTCTGTATTTTACCAATTCGCTTTGCATTTAATATATTACTCTTGAAATTATCTGTAATATCATTCCCTGCATATGAATGGCACACAGGAAGTGCTCCATGAGTATCTACTGAGGGAATTAATAAATATATGGAAACTGACTTAAAAAAACTCGTCTTCGAGAAAGTGACATGAATCAGATTACAATGCACATGTTTTAATACCTGTACCATTGGTTCTAGGAATATCCTAGATAATTGTGAAGTTATCATAGTGGTCCAGATGAACCCCAAAGAACTTTGTCCAGATATAAATGAGACTTTATCCTAATTCTCAGGTAGAGGCATTTTTGATTCTCTAAGCACATGTATATGACTCATCTGTTAAACTACAAAATGATAAAGCCTTATTTATTCACACTTCACATTATATGTTTTATAATCATAATGGCAGGATTTGGCTGGATCTTAGTTGTTTACTCATACTAAGCAGCATACTTGTATAAACTAAGTTGGCTAGTGAATACTAAAACAACTTATGGAAAGTATGATTTAGAATCTGGGGAATAAATAACCTTCTAAAAATTATGTTATTACCTTGTGATAAGCTTTAGGCAGATAGTACAGTTTATGAAAGGAATCATGAGTGCTTAATATTTAATGACTGAACACCTCAATTGCTCAGTTTGAAACTGTTTTTTATCCCTCTATTTCATAATGTCACCCCTCAGCTTACAACCTCCATTGACTTACATCCTCTCCTACAGGGATGGGGAAAAGATGAAATGTATTTTTGCTAACTTTTGTTTCTTTGTTGATACCTTGTTCCTGAACACAGTGCAAATCTGGATTTTGCCTCAGCTAATCAAGCTTCTCTTTGCCAAATTATTGAACATTTTCTAGTTCTTTACCAGTCATACTTATGTGTGTAATTCCATGCTCTTGAAGCTCTTGATACTTTGGTTTTTCTTGACACCGTTTTTTCCTGATTTTCTTTATCCTGTTTCTTCGGTTTCCTTCTTGATCTTCCACCTATCTCTTTAATATCAGTCCTGCTCATGATTTCATCTTTAATCCACTTTTCTTAGACCCACTTTTCCTGCGTATGCTTCAGAATTCAGACATTTCAGCTTGGGTGACCCATAGCTATCTGACTCCGCCAAACTGAACATCCTCCCTAAATCTCTTACTTCTTCCCATATACATCTGCTGCCTCGTTTGGTAGCACCACCATCTGCCCAGTCTCCCAGCCTTAGAGCTGCCCTATCTGTTTTGGTAGCTACAAGTCGTATGTAGCTGTTTGAATTCAAATTAATGAGCTAAAATCAAATGTAATTAAAATTTGATTTCCACAGTTGCACTAGCCCCACTTCAAGTGCTCGGCAGCCGTAGTGACTAGGGACACTGCATTGCATGGCCCAAGTTGAGAGCGTGCCCGTCATCACAGAAAGTTCTATGTTAAGCATCTTTCTTAGCTCTCCCCTGTTTACTTACCAAGTTGCATGATGAGCAACAGTTATTAAATGTTCCCTGTACCCTGTCCCTTCCTACACTAGTTTTCCACCTCCATGTTCTGCCTGAACTGCTGCAGAAGCTCTCAACTGTCTCTACTAATTTGTAAAGGACACAAAGGTTAACAGAGGTATTTTCTACTTAACAGTCACAGTCTAGTGAAAGAAAACCTAATTTTGAGTTGGTGAGATAATTTTTCTCCTAAGAGTGTCCACTTATTTAGCTTAAACATATGTTGTCTTAATAGTTTTTTAAATTGAATAGACCTTTTTAAGAAGGTGGGCCAAAACATTTTAAAAACATAATATGGAGCTCTCTTTTAGAATAATTTTGACTTTTTGGAAGTTTAACCATGAAATTTTACCAGTTAAAATACTGATGTTGAACAAATGGGAAATTTGTTTCTGTGTTTAAATAATATGCATTTTAATCTTTGTTGGTATTATTACAGACAGATGTGTGTTGATCACTTTATTTGTACAAAGTAACACCTGCCACAGTAATGTTAATGCTTTACCAATGGTCTGAAGTTGTATAGAGGAAAAGACAGCTCTTAGGATGTCACTTGGATTACCTTGTCAAAATGACCTGAAACTGTGCTTAACCAACTGTGTCAGTGTTCTTTTCTTTTCTTTACAAATATGAGGAATTTCAGCATGCCATATTAATCTTTTCAAAATGAATTTTTGACTGTCTACTGTTGCTTTATTGGGCATCTTTTCAATGAAGGTAACATTTCATTTGAATTCTCATTTTAAGCTTCTAGGAGCCAATGGAAATGTAAACATCAATTCAAAACTTCGCTTGCAACTGTATTACCCACCTACTAAGCCTCGATCCCAGTCAAATGTCGTTGAGGTTTTTGAGTGGTGGTCAAAATGTCCAAGAAATCATTATCCATCAACATTGTATGTAACTGTTAGAGGATTGAAAGTTCCAGAATGTGTAAGTTAATAGCACATGCAAAAAATATGTCTTCGGTGGGGGCGATGGTTTCTATTTCTATACAGATAAAAACTTTAGAATTATTTTAATAGATGTCTGAAATAGAAAGGAAACTTCAGAGATTATATATTAAGCCTGTAATAGCTGATACTTAAAAGACATTTTAATAAATTTTAAGTCCTAAATATAGATTTTGATTTTAAGAATTAAAAAAAAAGATAATGCTAATCTTTAAATATTAAAGATAAAAGAATGACTTAATGTGTAGTGGTGGTTTAGTCACTAAGTCATGTCTGACTCTTGTAACCCCATGGACTGTAGCCCACTAGGCACCTCTGTCCATGGGGTTCTCCAGGCAATAATACTGGAGTGGGTTGCCATTTCCTTCTCTAGGGGATCTTCCCAACCCAGGAATCGAACCCAGGTCTCCTGCATTGCAGGCAGATGACTGCAATGTGGAAATTGACAAATAGGACCAGACAATAAATAGTTTAGGCCTTGCAGGCTATGCAGTCTCTGTTGCAGCCTCTCAGCCTTTCCTTGGTAAGGTGAAAGTAGCTACATAGACATATGTAGATGATAACTAAACAGATGGTTTTGGATGTGTTTGAATAAAACTTTATTTGCAAAAATGTCATTGGCTATATTTAGACCATAGCTTGCAGACCCATGAATTATAGACACATTTTTTACACTATTATTCAAATAATCAACAAGTAATATTTCTACTTCTGTTGTATATAGATTAAAATTATGACTATCTTAGCAAACATTTGTCCTAAAATGAGGTGAAACTTTTGCTTTTGTCTCATTGTCACAAAACATTTCAGGCCATTCTGCATGTTGTGTATTGATATTATAAACTGTGACCACAGTGTTGGTTTTCATTGGTTTGAATGGAATTAAATCTATTTTAAGAAATGGAGGATTTAAAAACATCAGGTCTTTATGTTGTGATCTTAAAGCAGAGATGCCATAGTACAATGCCAGAGCCATAATATACCATCTGGCAGGTATTGGTGAAGAAGCAGGAACAAAGGGACAGAGTGACTAAAACTATGTCATTGGAGTTCTGTTTTATCCTTTCCTTCTTTTAAGGCTTTTGGGTTTAGGACTGTAATTTCAAGCAACTGACATTTTAAGTTGCTTCAGTTCACTTCAGTTCAGTCGCTCAGTCATGTCTGACTCTTTGCAACCCCATGAACCGCAGCACACCAGGTCTCCCTGTCCATCACCAACTCCCAGAATCCACCTAAACCCATGTTCATCGAGTCGGTGATGCCATCCAACTATCTCATCCCCTGTCGTTCCCTTCTCCTCCTGCCCCCCAATCTTTCCCAGAATCAGGGTTAGTCGTGTCCAGCTCTTTGGGAACCCATGGACTATACAGCCCATGGAATTCTCCAGGCCAGAGTACTGGAGTGGGTAGACCTTCCCTTCTCCAGGGGATATTCCCAACCCAGGGATCGAACCCCGGTCTCCCATATTGCAGGTGGATTCTTTACCAGCTGAGCCACAAGGGAAGCCCAAGAATACTGGAGTGGATAGCCTATCCCTTCTCCAGGGGATCTTCCCAACCCAGGAATCAAACCAGGGTCTCCTGCATTGCAGGTGGATTCTTTACCAACTGAGCTATTAGAGAAGCCCATTCATTTTATTTTATTTAAGTGGTGTACAAATAAAAGTAGAATTTTTTTTCTGGATTATATTTTGAAACATTTTCATAGTCTACTGTTTATTTCAATATTTTCAAAGCCATATATGCTAGAAAAGAGAAAAAGATTAACATGATACATACATTTTCTCATTTTCTGTATGTACTTAGGTAAAGCCATCTTACCGTTCTATGATGGCTCTTCAGGAAGAAAAGGGGAAACCAGTGTACCGTGAGCGACACCATGAGCCAAGTTCAGTGGACGCAGAGCCTGGATTAGAAGATTCAAAGGAAGTGGTGAAGTGGAAACGGTTGCCTGGGCAGGTGAAGTGTTCACTGACACTGGATTCATTTAGATATTTATTTTAAAATGCGCCATCAGCTCCTAGGGTCAGTAGCTTGCTCCTTAAAACTTTCAGGTTATCCTTGTTTTTAGCCATGATCTTGTCTGCCTGTTAATTCATTTGGTAAATAGTAATAGAGTGCCTATCGTGTGCATACAGACATTACCTTACCTTCTTTGGGGATATGGAGAGTTTTATTTGTTTGCCAGAGCTGCCGTAAGAAAGATCACAGACAGGTTGGCCTAATCAATAGAAATTTGTTTTCTCATAATTCTGAAGGCTGTAAGTCCCGGATAAGGGTTGCAAAGCTGGTTTGTGCTGAGGCCTTTCCCCTTGGCTGGCAGATGGCTGCCATCTCCCTGCTTCTTCGTGGCCTTTTCTCTGTATGGCTGCTTCCTTAGTGTCTAACCTTCTTGTTAGACTCGGGCTCACCCTAGCAACCTCATTTTAACTTAGTCTGCTCTGGAAAGACCTTGTATCCAAATACTGTTACATTCTGAGGTACTGGGTTTAGAGCTTCAAGGTAGGGATTTGTGGAGACACAGTTCAGCCCATAAATACACAGTTTTCAGATTCGTGAAATTTTTACAGTCCCTGGCTTCTTCCTGAATCACGTTTTGATAGAGACAGGTATATGTTATCCTTTTACCAGAAGTTGAGCAGTATTTAAGCTTTCACTAAAATTTTTTGTACTTGGCTATCATATTTTGCGGTGGCAAGAAGCATTACTGGTGAACTTATGCCAGTCTCTTATCTGTTTCCATAAAGGGTGAAGTGGTGCATTTTATAGACTCAGTATATACATAAGAGTGACTATTTTCCTAGACCTTTTCACATTCTGTTTTGCATCATATTTAATTTTCTTTTTGAGGCCAATTTTACAGATACATCTTAAGGTCACTTTTAAATACTTTATACATAATAGTATGGAGAGAATAATACTTAGACTGTGCCCGTGGGGACCTTTCACATCATTTTCAGACATGGGAAACAGTTACTTTGCTGTTCACTCTCAGGTATGCTGCAAAGAACTCTTCAGGAAATATAGATATAAAAATAATTGTTTGGATGAGCAGTTCTCAAAGTGTGATTTGGAGACTGCTGGGAGTCCTCCGACCCTTTCAAGGGGTCTGTTGAAGTTAGTCTATTTTCAGAATAAGATCATAATGATTCTAATGATTCTATAGTGATTTAATTTGTCTTTTTGACTTTCATTCTCTCACAAGACTTTCATTCTCTCACGCTGGAGTTTTCCAGAGGCTAAATGACATCTGATATCACAAGTCTAAATGATATCTGATATGCAGAAGCAGTTTTGCTTTTATTAAGCAAATCTAGCTACCTGTTATTAAGCCAGAAATTGAAAAGATTTGCAAAAATATAGAACAGTTCCATTTTATGAAATCTTTTGTGAAAAGAAATTGTTAACATTTAATGGACTTGCTCTGTTATTTTTTAAATGATTAACAAATGGTTTTTTAATTTCTCAGTTTTAATTTCTAATATGATAAATATCTGTAGATATAGCCACATTTGAGGATCCTCAAAACATTTTTAAGACTGTAAAGCACCCTGAAATGAAAGCAGTTTGAGAATTTCTGATACGTAAATGGTGATCTGGAGTGAGGGTTCACTCAACAGGTTGCTGGAGCCTGCGACAGACTGTAAAGCGTGACCAGGTTAAGAGTGAGCGAAGAGGACAGAGGAGAGTGTTTCATGTTGGGGCAATGTTTTAAATTAAAGAGTGGCCCGGTTAAGAGTGAGCGAAGAGGACAGAGGAGAGTGTTTCATGTTGGGGCAATGTTTTAAATAAATGGGGAAGCACCTGTTGTATTCCTCAGGCACTCAGAGCTTGGTGGGCGGGAAATCTGAGTTTGTGTAAGAGGTCAAGTGGTGGTGATAGAGTAGGCCCACATTCTGAAGTGGCTCAAACGGTGGGTAGCCTAATATTTGATTGTGTGGGACTGAGGAAAAGTGGGAGGTTTCAGGTGAGAAGGAAGTGTGATAGCAGTTGTATTTAGGACAAATTAACAGTTTGTCCCAGTGCTGACAATGGCATGTAGTGGACCTTGAAATAGGATACCTCAGAATGAGAGGAAGGTGGCCATTGCAGTCACTGAGGTGTGAGGTGAGAGGGGTCCGACCTTGGGGTGTTGGTGGCAAAAGTGAGGAATGAGACATGAATACGAAAGAAGGAAAGACCTAGTGTGACTGAGTGACCGACAGAGTAGTAAAGAGTGGAGAGCTGAGGATGTTGAGGCCCGTGCTCACTTCGGCAGCACATATACTAAAAAAAAAAAAAAGGACGTTGAGGCCCTTTGCTGCTGTTACTAAATGTTCATCAGGTGCCTCTTCTGAGTGTAGCGTCTAACTCTGGGAATGCAAGTTAAATGATGGTGCTTTTAGTGTTTTGGCTTTAGTGATGAGGCACAGTTTTCCTTAACTACACCTCCTCCTCTAAGAGCAGCAGCAAGTGATTATGAAACCTGCTAACTTTTCCTTCAACTTTTGACCTCTTTTTATCTCCCTCTCCCTTTTCTAAATCATCTGGATGGAAAGCTGGTATCTGGTACATTATTGACACCTAATAGATGTCTGTTGAATTTTTCACCTTTCAAGTAGCTGCTCATAATTCTGCCTCTTCATATTGCTGCTAAATTGTGATGCTACTTGTGAGAACCTGGTTCCCATCTAGAAAGCAGGTCCTTGAGTCAGTAGTCTTTGACTGAGCTGGGCTTAACCCTCTGAATAATACTTACTAGCTTTATATGGTACTGGTAGTTACTCACAGGTTCGCTGTGATGAGCATGTGTGTGTGCTCAGTCGCTCAGTAGTGTTTGACCCTTTGCCATCCCATGGACTGTAGCCCGCCACATTTCTCTGTCCATGGGATTTTCCAGGCAAGAATCGTGGAGTGGGAAGCCGTGTCCTAACTCCAGGCCATCTTCCCAACCCAGGGATTAAACCCGTGTCTCCTGTGTCTGCTGCACTGGGAGGCAGATTCTTTATCACTGGGCCACCTGGGAAGCTCATGATGAATATATGAAGAGATACTTGTAATGAAAGTACCACATTCATGGTATATCGTAAGGGCCAAATATACATTTTGAATAATAAGAAAGAAACACAGCAACTAAGGCTCACTGAAGTTTGAAAGAGAGAGAATTAGGACAAATAAAAGCAAGTAGTATTTTCTACAATAGCTATTAATACACAATAAGTTTTGGTTTCATCTGGTAATAAGGAATGAAAACATAAAAATGATGAAGGAATTTTAATAAAAATAGTGAGTGAGAAATCAATAGGAAGTGATTGATTTACTCCAAAAATACATTTTGGAAGGCTTTACAAATGATGGTTATTTAAGACAAAAAAGAAAGGATGAATATTTATACATCCTAGACTTCAGCTGGGTCTATATGACATCTGTAGACTCAGGACAAGTTTATGGTTCCACAAAAATCACTTATTAGTTGCTGTCATGAAAGAAGGGTGTGACACACATTCCCTTTTGTGGCTGTATGAAAATAATCTGGTAGTCATAGCTTTAGGAGTATCAGATCTTGAAATTTTGTGTTCACCTTTTAGGTGAATAGTGCTAGTTAGGCATGGGTATAAATTCACTCAATTTTATGGAGAATTGAAACTGATTGTCTGCTTTGAAAGTGAAGTAATTTACTTTGGTTTTCCATTATTCTGCTTACTTGCCTTCTTCCTCCTCTGCCTCACAGTAAAGGGACCTTTTAAAAAACCAGAAACTGCACCAGCTACAATAATTGAAGTTACCAACTAGCTTTCATATTTAATGTTTGTTCATCTGTATTCATAAAATGTATGTTTTGCAGGCCTGCCGTATCCCAAACAAGCACCTCTTCTCACTAAATGCAGGAGAGCGAGGATGCTTTTGTCTTGCTTTCTCCCACAATGGAAGAATATTAGCAGCAGCCTGTGCCAGCCGGGATGGGTATCCCATTATTTGTGAGTAATGATCCTATCTGTTTAGTCTAATACTAGACTATGAGAGGATTTTTTTTGTTTTTTAAAATGCATTGAAATCTTAATTTGTCATCCACCCATGCTACTGAATTAAAATAGATTTCCTCAAGTAAAGTCACAATTCTTTTTTAATAATTTACACTATACAGTATATGTCCAGGAATAAAAATGAGAATGATCAAATGAAGGATAATAAATTTTTTAAAATATTCAAGAGGTACTCTTTGTGTATTTTCTATTTTAAGTATAGAAATTTTGCAGCATATAGGATTAATAAATCTCTTGAGGAATTTTAGTCCTTTGATAATAGTGAGAATTTGATTATGAAAGCCCTCAAATTTGTTATGCGGTAAGACAGTAGAAATTGGCTCAGGAATACCTAGATGAAGAATTTTAGTTATAGTAGATCAGCAGAGAGGCCAAAGACCTACTCTTAAAGTACCTTTAACAAATGGAGAAACCACGTTGATGAGTTATTTCTGTAACATTAGAGATATTTTTTCAGTGGGCATTCATGCTCTTCTAGTCATAGAGGCATGAAATACTTTCCCTTCTTGTTTAATGGTGAAAACCAGCTCATCTCAGCAGGAAGTAGCCAGCTCTTCACAGACGTCTGCCCCGAGCACTGACATTGGGTTTTCCTCAGCTTCACAGTTTATTATTCTGGAGCTGATTGGCTCTTTTTTTCCGCAAGGACTCATAATTGGTTGATTATCAGCTATTAAGTAAATATGAAATAATGTTAGCTTTAGATGTACAAAGTGATCATGTAGTTTGATTATGACTATGCTATTCTGCTGTTGTTAACATTCACTTAAAGCTATGCATTGGGGGGAAAAAAGATTCTTAAGAAAACATACCCCCAGAGTATTAATAGTGATTTTTGTTTTTTCACTATGCACTGGGCAGTGAAAGAATTATTTTCATTCTGATGTGTATGTTTTTAACATTTCCAGGATAAATATGTGTTACTTCATGCTTTAAGAAAAACTTGAATTTAGATATACTTACTGCTTGAATCTAAAAAAAAAATTTTTAAAAGAAGAATCTTTGTCTTTGGTTTTTGATTATGATGTATCTGCTTGGAATGCGTTCAGCTCGTAGGATGTGCAGATTAATGTTTTTCACAAATTTGGGAGGTTTTTCATCTTTATTTCTTCAAATGTTATTTCTGCCCCTTTCTATTTCTTCTCTTCTTCTGAGATTCCCATCATTTCTATGTTGGTGCACTTGATGGTTATGCAACAGGTCTCTGCACCTTTATTCATTTTCCTTCATTTTTTTCTTTCTGCACCTCTAACTACATAATCTTAATTGAACTGTCTTCAAGTTTAGTGATGATTCTGACAGTTCATATCTGCTGTTGAGCCCCTCTAGTGAATTGTTTATTTCAGTCATTGTACTTTTCAACTCTAGAATTTCTACTTGGTCTTTTTTTTTTTATAACTTCTATCTATTAATTGCTAAGAAATAATTCTCACACCTTTGTTCTTCAGATGTGGTTTTCTTTAGTTCTTTGAACATACTTTTAAGAAAGGATTTAACTAGGAAACCAGTGTCATTGACAGTCCCTGTTAACTGCTTTTTTTTCCTGTTTGTGGCTGTACTTTCCTGTTTTGTCTGTATGTGTGTGTCTCCCTTGAAAACTGAATATTTTAAATATTGCAATGTGGCAACTCTGGAAATCAGATTCCCTTACTTACCCACTTCCATCCGCCCGCTGGGATCTGTTGTTGTTATCTGTGTAGTTATTTCCCTAGTCTTTATTCCTTGTGAGGTGCTACCCCTGGAGTTTTTGCTTTGCTAGCTTAGTGGTCAGCTGATGGTTAGAGAGGGATTTTTAAATATCTTTGAGTAAACAGGTCTCCCTGCCAGTGCCGAAGGGTGCTGTGTGTGTGTGTGTGTGTGTGTGTGTGTGTGTGCGTGTGCGCGCGCGCGCGCGCGCGTGCGCCTGTGTGTTTCTGTGTGTGTTGGGATAGGTTTCCAGTGCTCAAGTAGAGAGTTTACAGCTTCGCCTTCGCCTTCACTTCCTGTTTGCAGTTTCCCCAGGGCAGTCCCAGTAAGATAAAGGCCGTTCAGGTCTGTCTTGCACAAGTGTGTGCACAGCCTTTCATGTGTACATGTTCTTCTCAGTTCCCTGGAATATGCTGGAGCTTTTCAAAGTACCCTGTGGACATCTCATTCCCAGTATTTCCTTTTGAGTTCTTTGGCCAGCCTCTGCTTAGCTCTACCTGGTATCACTGCCTCAGAGGGCCACACTACTGATTATTTTATGCCCCCAGGGTTAGGACTGTTCGCCCAGAGCAGGCTCAGAACCAGGTCAGGTAAAGCCAGGCCCTGAGAATGGAGCCTTGCAGGAAGCTGCCCAGCCGTCTCACGCTTTTGTCTTGGGGATGGGCTTTGGAGGTCTTTAGGCTTCTTCTGCCCCATCTCATAGACGCGAGGCTGCTGTTCTTTGTAGCTTCAAGGCTGCTGGTTTTCAGGGCGACTCTGGAGCTTGGGAGAGGAGAATGGGAGCAGGACAACTTAAAGCACCACAGAGCTCACTGTTCTTGCCAATATTCATATGTTTTTCTTTAGTAAAATGTTCCTCAGATTGTTATAAGCCTTTAATTCCCAAAATTTTGAAAAAGCTAATTTTGACAATTTTTTGCCAGTGTTCTCGTTGCTTTTATGGGAGAGCAGATTTTCCAGTCTTTATTTTGCTATAGCTGAAGTTCTTCTGTACTTTTTAGTATTTTAAACAGCAGTTGGTTTTACCACTAGGTGGAAGTAGAGACTTGGAAGCTGTTCTCTGTTCTTAGAAGGTTTTACTATGTACATAGCATAACAATACTACAATGCCTTGTTTATCAGATTAAATCTCTATTAATTCCCCTATCATTTTTAGTATTATAATTTTTCTCTCACAGTAGCAGGGTTTAAGTTTCTCATTGCTTCGAATAGTTAAATTTTCCTTGAAATTTGATTGATTTTTGGATAAAATAATACTTTATTCATAAAAGCCCAAATTACAGAATCTTTGAAGTGAATTGCAATTTAAAAGTTATCTGTTTAATAAGTTGATTATCAAAGGTTATTAGGATTGCTTTGAAAAGAGATCAGAGGGGTGGGGGCAGGGGAAAAATTAAAAAAAAGAGAGATCAGAATAATTGTTAACTGTAGCATATTATAAAATTTTAGGTATTTAAGTTCTTGTATCTAAAGCAATTGAAAACTTACTTTTAAGTAGATTTTGACCTTTTTTCTTACTGAAAATGTCTTTGGTGATAATATTCTTACAGACAGTGGTTACCTTATGTACAAATTATTATAAATGATGAATTTTTATATTATTCAGTTAAGAAACCTCTGTCTGGAAACTTACTAATTTGGGGAATGTTTTCATTAGTGTATGAAATTCCTTCTGGACGTTTCATGAGAGAATTGTGTGGCCACCTCAATCTCATTTACGATCTCTGCTGGTCCAGAGACGATCGTTATGTTCTCACTGCGTCGTCTGACGGCACTGCCAGGTCAGTACACTTCAGAAGCGCTCACTGCTCTCTGTGCGTCTTGTTGTTCGGCCACTAAGTTGTGTGCGACTCTTTGAAACCGGGTGGACTGCAGCATGCCAGGCTTCTCTGTCGCTCAGTATCTCCTGGATACTCCTGGATGCTCAAACTCAAGCCCATTGAGTCAGTGATGCCATCTAACCATCTCACCCTCTGTGTATGCTGCATGCCCTCCAAGAGAATGTAAATAGAATGTAAAGTGATATAACTGCTCTTAGATTTCAATTTTGTCTTTCTTATCAAGAGATTGTCATAAATATGCATCATACAGACTCACTGATTAAGTTATGAAAACTTTTTCCTAAACACATACTGTTAAATATAATTTCATATATATATATATATATACAATGTTTCTAATCCTCACTGTCTTTAAATGGTCATTTTGTACAGTTTTGATTAATACCTTGAAGTTATTAAACAACTTAGATTATTTTTCCTGGAATACAAGCTGTTGATGGCAGAGATTTTAGCTGGATCCAGACCAAGACATGGTGCTGCTCAATGCATGATGTAGGGTCAGTAAATGAATATGCATCTTGCATTTTAAGAGTGTAATAGATTTTCAGATATTTGCATTTTTCAGAATGTCAGTCTTAAAATAATTTAACCCCTTCCAATTTAATAAGTAGCAGTATTAGTTGCTCAGTCGTGTCTGACTCTTTGCGACCGCTTGGACTGTAGCCCACCAGGCTCCTCTGTGCATGGGATTCTCCCAGTAAGAATACTGGAGTGAGTCGCCATGCCTTTCTCCAGGGGATCTTCCCAACTCAGGAGTCAAACCTGGTCTCCTGCAGCATAGGTAGATTCTTTACTGTCTGAGCCACCGGAGAACTAGAAACCTACTATTAATCCCTCTTAACAACATCCTCAATAACCCATCTGGTTTCTTGTTCTTTCAAGCATAACCATTCTGTCTGATGCCAAGCTATGCTAGAGAAAAAGGCAGAACCTTGGTAAGACCTTATCTATGGATTTGAGAGTCGCAAAATCCATAAGTTCTCATCTCTGCTGAGCAATCCTTTTACTTATGTTTATTTAGCTATTTTTTTCTCATTCCTCTAGCAGCAGATCCAACCAAATCTTACCATGCTTCAAGTTCTTTGCACAATCTTTAGTTCTCTATACAGTCTTCCCACTTTCATTAAATGACTACCTTCAATTTACAGTGTAATTTAACCAGACATGAAATTCCTATATTTCTCTCTGGCTTACCACCTAATATCCATAAATTTGGGCTTCCCAGGTGGTAAAAAGCCCACCTGCCAATGCAAGAGATATAAGGGGTGCGGGTTCAATCCCTGGTTCGGGAAGATCCCCTGAGGAAGGGAATGGCAACTCACTCCAGTATTCTGGCCTGGAAAATCCCATGGACAAAGGAGCCTGGCAGGCTACCAGTCCATAGTGTCATAAAGAGTTGGACATAATTGAAGCGACTTAGCACGCACATTCATAAATTTACCCTTGTGTATCTCTATTCATCTCTGTTAACAAAGAGATATGGGTCCCCAAGATCCTTTATTCAGTGTCTTCTGTGGTTTGGTGTGCTTATCCTGCTCTCTCTCATCTTCCTCGGCTTTGAATCTCACTTGTATGCTAATAACTTTGAGCTCCTTCTCTTTTTCAAATTCAGCTACTAACACACTTCTGACTGGATTGCCCAGTGGTACTGCAAATCCAAATCTGAAATCACCAAATTTTGTTTTCTGTTTTTAACCTTCATATAGTTTTTGTTTTGTTTTGTTCTTTTTTTTTTAATTTAAATATTTTTAAAAATTTACTATGTTGTGTTGGTTTCTACCATACAAATCAGCCATAATTATACATACATCCCCTCCTTCCTTAGCTTCCCTCCCCTCCCCCATCCCATCCCCCCAGGTCATCACAGAGCAGCAGACTGGGCTCCCTGTGCTACAGAGCAACTTCTCAGCAGCTATGCATCTGCACCTGATGGTGTATCTATGTTGATGCTACTTGTTCTCTCTCCCTCTCCACCGTGGCCACAAGTCCATTCTCTGCATCTCCAGATTTTTAAGTGCATCTCCTTATCTACCCTGCCTCCCAAGCTGAGAACTCAGACTAGGACTCATCTTTATTTTTCTCATCTAAGTAGTTCTGAACTGTATCAATTCTCCCTCCTAAAAGGCTCCCATTCTATCACATTCCTTTTGTCTTCACTGCTGTTGCCTTAATTCAAGCCGTTGTTATCTTTTTGCTTCAACTGTTGCTGCTAAGCTTTGCCAGTGTTCACCCTCTAGCTCCTCCACCCCTGCTATGCAAAAGTCCTTTCCAAAACCATCTTTCATAATGTCTTGACTTTAAAAAGTCTTTGATTGCCACTGCCGTTTGAAAAATGTGCTGGTTCCTTAGCATGGCATGACAGGCATGGCCCTCACTGACCTCCCATTTTCTCATGTGCACTTGCCCCAGTACACTCTGCCTCTCGCACAAACTTCTGAAATGCCCATAACATCTCATCTTCTTTGGTATCTCCCTGTTACCTTATTGCCTCTTCCTATGCTTCCCGCGCTTCTCCTCCCCTTCCTGCCCAACTCATTCACCCAACAAACATCTAAGTGCCTGTGCTAAGCCAGGATGGGCTCATAGTCATCACTTAAGACCCAGCTCAGATTTTACCCCCCCCCCTTTTTTTTTAAGATTTTACCATTTTTTGAGGTCAACTTGGATTTCCTCACACAACATATGCTGTATAAAGTATACTTTTTCCTTTGTGTAGCTTTGGAGTTGATCCTCATTTAGGACTGTTTGCATCCTAAAAATACTACTGTGAAGGGTTAACAGTGAAAAGAGAATCACTGTGGCTAGAAATAAAAAGATAGTGGGATTTTGAAAGAGATAAGGAATGCTTACAGTGAATGAACTAAAGTCAAAAGGGAAAGAACCAGAGTTGCTAATGCTCCCGAGTGGCAAGAAGTTGGGTTTTTGTCCAGGTCTTCTGTCTTCCCTTGAGGTCACCATCACCTGTTACTGTTAGCATCCTTTGAGTAACTGTTTTCCACTGGTTAGCTCTCTGCTAAATGGGTTTAATGTAAATCTGTCTTTAGTTATCTTCAGTAAAATTTGAGGAAAAAAAGATCAGCAGCTCCCAATATAATCAGAAAAGCTTGTCCATGTGTAATGGCTCCCAAATATACCAATATGTTCTCACTCCATCCTCTCTTCACTATTACTGTTTTAACTTTGGTATATTCTTTTCTTTCCAAATTCAAATAATTTTTTGTATGTTCATCTAGTCTTTACAGATTTGTGTATAAATGTTCTCTGCTATGATCAGTCTGATTTTTTTTTTCCACAAACCCAGTAATACATTTCTTTTGATCTTAGATTCTACCATTGCTTGCTTGACTAAAGCCGTCACTGATACCAGTTCAGCATTTATATAAAAAGCTTCATTTTTGTGTTAAAATATTGTGTCTATTCGAATTACGTTGAGCTCTTTTTACAATACACTTGTCATTTCTTCTCATTATATAGTATTTCAGATGATGCTGCTAAGATTTATTAGCATGCAACTGAAGTTTTACTTTCAGCATTCCCCTTAATATTCCCTCAAAATTAGTGGTTTTTTCCCCAGTAAGTACTGTATTTCGTGTTACATGAGTTCATTGAAAGTTTCATGACGGTAAAAATGTTTATGCAGTGACACATGTGTTTCACTTTTACTTGAAAACATAGTCTTTCACTTCCTTCATTACTAGTTTGGATTCTTAGTAGCTGAAGATCATATCCTGTATTTTTAAGCAGCTGGTGAGAAAGCTTATAGAATGTTATTCTTGAATAACAACTGTATTTTTTCTTCTATAGATAATTTTGAAAAAAACTCAATTTGCTTCATTTCTTAGTAATAAAAAGGATAAACTATAAATCCCCATATTAAAAAATAAATTCTTCTAATTCTGATAACCTAAGTTTTTAAAAATCAAGTGCTTCACACTCGTAAAGCACGTGTTTGTTCCTAGATTTTGCCTATTTTTACACATTGACTTGCAGAGTATCTAACCTGATAGTTTATAACTCTTAGGGTTTACTTTTGTCAAGACTATAGCAATAGCAATATTATTTTCTTTTAAATCACCTATTATATAAAGGCAGAGATAATGAATATTAAACATAAAGTGAGTACTCAATGTTAGATAACCTGTTTCCTATAAAATATTGTAATTATTTTAATGTCATTTTGTTCAAGTGCTTATATAGTAATTTGAAAGTGGCTTCTAAGTCTTTGAGATCTTTATGTTAATTATGCTTTGAAATTACGAATAAAAAGTTAATGGAGTACACTGTAGTCCTCAACTACAAGTCCTCAACTGTAAGCACTTTGGAAAAGCAATATACACAACCTAAATGGGAAATCATTGAAATTTCTTCCTCTATTTTATTTTTTACTTATATTTTATTAAATGCAATATTTTACCAACTCTGCATTGTATTTAATCAATGTCAAGAATAGGTTGGTTTAAAAAAAATACAGACATATGCAAGTACAGTTTTTTGTTTTGCGGTATAGATTGCAATTAGTAGATGAATTAACATAATGCTTGAAAATAACTATAAGAAATAGCTTTGTCAAAATGTAAAGAAGTCTGGTCATCAAACATGATCATATTATTTTTATTGTTATAAAATTTACCATTGGTTGTTGTTACTTGCTTACTCATTAAGTCCATTGCCTATATTGGTTCTTAGAGAAACATCTGCCTTTCAGAAGCAATATGTAACATTTTTATCCTTTTCCAGGATATGGAAAAATGAAATAAGCAATACAAATACTTTCAGAGTTTTACCTCATCCTTCTTTTGTTTACACGGCTAAATTCCACCCAGCTGTAAGAGAGCTGGTGGTGACAGGATGCTATGATTCTGTCATACGTATATGGAAAGTTGATATGAGAGAGGATCCTGCCATATTGATCCAACAGTTTGACACTCACAGGAGTTTCATCAACTCTCTCTGTTTTGATATTGAAGGTATGTCTGAAATTATATTCAAATCGAAGGCTAGTTATGTAAAGAATTTTTTAAAAATTTTGTTTCACTAGGATAATTATTTCAGCTTGAGAGGGGCTTAATGTATTAGATAAAATTAAATATGTTTGTGCGTCTTTAGATTGTTTGTGCAGATCATATGATAGACCTGGTCATAAATTTGGTGCTGCAGTAGTTGTTAGTTAATTTTAAAGTCAGTACATTTCTAAACATTTTGATTCAACTAATCTTTCCTGTAACAACCCGTCCTGTTCCAAATTTCTGAACATATTTCATTGGATTGGTGATTGTTCCCTTAGTAGGTTTCTTAAAGGACCGTTTCTGTAAATGGCAAAACTGAGGAAGATGGGGGAAAAGATCCCAGAACAATGTTGAAAATATGTGTTTAAAATGTGGCAACAAGATTTTTTTAAGTACCTAAACATATGTTTATGGAAGGGAAATTTGCAATTATTTAAGGTTTAATATTAGAATATGAGTATTATTAATGGTGTTTTAAGGATATAAAATATTTTATCAGCTGAAAGACTAAAATTTGTTGTATCTATTTATAGTCACCTTTTCTATTATTTCAGATACTAGGTTTGTATAGCTGTAATTAATTAGTATGGGATCATATCAAAATAATAATATTTCTAATGTACTCAGTTCGACCATAAGGATGTTTATAAGTAGGAATCCCTTCAGGAAAGGTCAACCAAGGATAGAAAGGCATCTGAAAACTCTGTCATAGAAGAAGTAGCTCAGATTATAAAAGGGAGATGAATAATTTCTTCAGGTATTTGCCTAAGGTGTGAAAAAAGTTAAGTCTTTCTGTGTTGCTCCAGTAGGTAGAAATAGAGCCAAAGCTACAGAAAAGCTACAGATTTTTCTTTGCTTAGAATTAGAAAGAACATTCTCACACACAGGGCATTTCATCAGTTGAATAAGCTAATTGTTAATACTTTTGTGTAAAATATTCCATTCACAGTTGCTGAACAGCCATCTTTTCGTATGGTTTCTAAAATATTCCTAATTGTTTATGAAGTTGAATCTGATGACCTTTGAAGTCCCATTTAACTGTAGGATGGTTTGACTTTCAGAATTGATGTTAAACTGGAACACCTGTTACTTATTATTTTATTCATTCCCTAATCATTTATTGCGTTCCTACCAGGTCTCAGGTATTATTCTAACAGTATATATTAGAGTACACGTGTTTCTCCCGGAATATGAAATGGGTTGTATAGGTTAACAAAAGTGAGCAGTACAGATCATATTGGAAAATTCAAATAATTTGTTTTGCGTTGGAATTTGAGCCATGTACACATGAACTGAGATGCTCATTTCGTTTTGTTTTCAAATTCAGGTAGGTGACAAAAGAAAATAAATCACAAGTAACTCAAAAGGGTGAAGAAAATTGGGATCTGATTGTTTGCCTTTGGGGCTTTTTTTAAACTACAGTACCTTTTAATAGCACTTCAATTTTTGTTTTTGTTTTTTTTTAATTGGGATGTGTTTGCCCAATTTCATACATAGTTGTTTCAACTTCTGTGTAACATTTATACCTGAGTAATTTTGTTCTTTTAAATAGGTCACCACATGTATTCAGGAGACTGCACAGGGGTGATTGTTGTCTGGAATACGTCTGTCAAAGCCGACGATGTACAACGCTCAGTGCGTCACTGGGGCGTTAACAAGGTGGAGTTTCACTTCGTACTTGGGGATTTATTTGAAAAAAATTGGGGAAAATCACATGACTTAAAGATGCAGGACATTCTGTTCACTCTTTTCAAAGGAATTAAATTTTTCTCAGTCCCTCGAAAGTCAGTTATCATGTCTTCCTGATAGCTAAGTGATAACATAGTGACTTAGTGAAAATTTTCTTTATTTTGGCTGGGCTTCCCTTTCCATTTTTGAGCCCTAAATTGCACTCTGGTATTCAGGGATCCATTGCTAAAATTTACTCAAAATGAGGTATATGTTATGTTATCATGTATACATAACAACTTATATTTTCTGCTATTCATATTCTTTCTTTTTCTTGGTCCAGTAGCATCTCTAAAAATGCCATGCTCAAGGTTTTGTTAACAGCGCTATCTCTCAAAATTGTGTGATCAAGATTATGTATTAATAAATATGAGGAGGTCTGTCATTTAATCACAGTATGTTTCATTTGAAATATACAAAATTGGCCAAAACAAATGAGTAATCTCATTTTTGAAGTAGAGTGTTTTTAAGATGGCTTGTATACCAAGCAACTTTGTTGGTGTATATTTAGTATGTTTTAGCTAAAAATACAAAACAAGTCATTAAATGAGTTAATTATATATATATATTAATATATATGTATCTCATATATATAAATATGCTATACCTGTGTTCTTCGGTTTTCTTGTTCTTCATAATAGATTGTAATAGTTATCCCTATTTGAAGAAAGACACGTGAAAAAGAATTTCCATCAACTTTAGTTAAATCTGTTGAGTCTGTCAGATCAATTTAAAAACCAGTCTATTCTATATTTATTCATTCTTATCTAGTCTGTCAGATTAATGAATGATGATGACTTGGGATTCATGTTGTAGCAATTTCATACACTTTGCAAAGAACTTCCTAATTACTTATATATTGACAAATGATTGGCAAGGCTCCAGAGGCCACATTTCTAGTCATTTGATTCTGCAATGCCGAGTCTATTGTTTATATTAAAAATCATGTGTTTTCTTTCCCTCTGTGTAGTAACCAAAAGGCAAATATACCTTGGAAATCTGCCACCTGGTGGTTACTTGAGACAGTCAAACATAAAAAGTGAGGAAATTAGGGATGGGATGTCCTTTTAATAGCTTATGCCTGGGACAGACGGAGACTATGATTTCTTGCTTGGTTCTCTTCCACCAATGGAGTGGAGAATGCTGGCTTATGCTCATCTGTCCCTTAAGATGAAACATCCATGTGCTGTCTCACATACTCCTTGGTATAGTGCGTGCTCTTTAACACCATTGAATATGATAAGAATATGAAGGAAATCATTAACAGATGCCTCAAACACTAAATCTGCCAGCTCTTTTCTCAGATTTATTCCTAACACTTAATGCAGCCTTGTTTTTGATTTTGCACATTTGCATCTGTGTAAATGTTGCTCCAATTGCTCAAACCTTCAGCAGTGCATCTTCACGTCTAAATCATTGTAGTTGGGCTCAGTAAAACCCCCATCTGTGGTGTCAGTGTTTGACTTTATTCTGGAACTTGTAAAAAAGTAGTTGACAGCAGGTTTCAGCACCAAACAGCAGAACCAGGGGTTCTAGTGCTGATATTAGGATTATAGCAGTTTGTACCCCACCTCTGTTGGTGCCAACCCACCTCTGAAGAGGAGACCTGCTAGGAGAAGTGAGCGAAATAATAAGGGGACCTCAAGGGAGAAGAATGCTGTTCAGAATTCTGACTGCAGGGTAAAGCAGAACTTCTCTTGAGTCTTCAAACAGTTTTGTATTTGCAGTTGTTTCTTTCTGCTGGTAATCCAAACAAGCAGGGTTTTGGAAATCGTCCTTATTTATATATGGCTTGTTCAGGCAGATTCTCCTTCAGTGTTTGTGTCTTTCTTGACATCAGCAGTCAGGTCTACTTATAGACTTCTTCTGTAACCAGAAGATTTAGCTGCTTTAAGTATCCAGAAAAACCTAAAATTACAATCTAAACTAAATTGTTTCATAATAAGATGCTGATAACTTATCTTTTTCAGGACAACTGGAGGTAAACGTATGAAGAAATAATCTGAAACTGAAATAGAACTGAGAGCTCATTCTATACTTAATTTTGAACGTAGAAATTGAGGTGTCTTGTATGATGATAAACAGACAATGTAGTAATAAAAGATGTGTTTTCAGAAAGTGCTTCTTATTTGGGAATATACTACCAACTAATTCAATTAGTGTTAGAAACACTAATTAAATATAGTGTTACTTAGCAGCCCCAAACTACATTTTATCAGCTTTATTTTCATCCTTAACTTGAACTTGAAATAATTTTGCTAACAATTTTAAAACATCTTGCATTGTGCAATTAAAAATGACCTCTTAAAATTAAATGTGTGTACTTAAAAGGGCTTAACTTTAGACAGATTTTGTAGTTGTAATATTGCATAATCTTTTTAAACTCATTTTAGGAAATTAAAGAGAGTGAGTTCAAGGGAATCCCGATAAGTTACTTGGAGGTTCATCCCAATGGAAAACGTTTATTAATTCATACCAAAGACAGTACTTTGAGAATTATGGATCTCCGAATGTAAGTATATTTCAGTATTTTGCAGGTTAAACACTCATAGAATAAGTAATGATCTAATTCATATTTGTACAATGTCGCTGTGGTTCTCAACTAGAGAAGTTTGTCCCTCGGGGGACCTCTGGCAGAGTCTAGAGAAACTTAAATGTTTATTCCAGTATCTAGTGGATTGTTACTCAGTTACTCAGTGGTGTCTGACTCTTTGTGACCCCAGGGACTGTAGCTTGCCAGGCTTCTCTGTCCCTGGAATTATCCCAGCAGGACTGATGGAGTGGGTTGTCATTTCCTCCTCCAGAGGATCTTCCCTACCCAAGAAATGAACCCGTGTCTCCTGCTGCTCCTGCCTTGGCAGGTAGATTCTTTACCACTGAGCCACCTGGGAAGTGGATACAGACCAGTGGATAGAGACTGGAGATGATGAGCATCCTGCAGCACATCCCCTACAACAATTATCTAACCACAAATGTGAATAGTTTTGAAGCTGAGATGTAGTCAACTGCTTTTTATTTTCAAAATGAAAAAGGAGAAACTTCTGCCATGGACTTTTATCTCTGTGATATTGGTTTAGCATAGCAGTATGATCTAATATCACGCCTGAATGAGAGGGCTTTTGACTAGCATGACACTGGCATGGATGCTGTGGGAGAATGATAAGCAGAATTGGTTCATCGGGAGTTTAGAATGTAGTTGTACTCCCTCCAAAATAACTTGTGAAACACTTAATTAGCCTACAGCGTGACATCTTCAAGGGCTGTTATAGAATCTGCTGTTCTTTTTTCTTTCTATACATCATATCCAACATCATACCTGGAAGGTAGCAAGTACTCTATAAGTATCTTTTAATGAATATAAATATATAATAAAAGGATTATATTTTTCATGGCAACAGTGAAGCTTAATAGCTATAATAAAGCCTTCTGTTCAAGGCTGTGGAGAGTCTGGTCTTTGAGCTCAGTCTTAAAGGGTGGATAGAATTTAGATAAGATGGCAGTGTCCTCTCTAGGGTGGAAAGCCTGGAATAAAGTCAGGATGTGGGATAATAGAAGTTGTGTTCAAGGCAGAGTGAGTTAGTCCAAATGAGCTTTGGTTTCTTGCTGAGGAATGCTGAGAGACTAATCAAATAGAGATTTGAGCCAGATTTTAGAAGTCCCGGCCTGCAGAGTTTAGTTGTTCTCTTTTTAAGTGGTATAGTATTCAGCCCATGATCATACTTGGGCTTTGGAAGAAAACTGCTTATATTCGAATACTGCCTGTTCCACCCCTTAAACTAACTGATTAGTCTCCCTGTACCTCTCTTTCCTCCTCACACAAATGGAGGAGGAAACAAAACACCCTCATAAGTGTTTTGTGAGGAATAAACTAGTTTATACATATAAAGTATTAGGTTGGCCAAAAAGTTCATTTGGGTTTTTCCATAACACCTTACAGAGAAACCCTGACGAACTTTCTGACCAACCCAATACTTAAATTAACAGAAATAGCAGAAGTTTTGACCCAGTAACCTTGGGTTTAGGAATTTATGTTAAGAAAATAATTGTGAAACTGTGCAATACACACACACAAAAGATTGTTCATAGAAATCATATTCATGCTAGGGGAAACATGTTGGATAAGTCTTAGGATGCTGGAAATATCCTGAGAGTTACCCAACAACAGAAAATTTCTTAAGATACATTTAGACAATGATATAATATATGCCTATTAAAATGATAATGCATAATTTTTATTTCCTGACATGAAAGGCCATTATTCATGGTCCATTGTTGACTGAAAAAAGCAAATAACAGAGCCATATATGCAATATCCTCTCTGTAAACCAGTGATTATAACAGTACCTGTGCTGTGCTAGGCTGTCACTCAGTCACGTCCGACTCTTTGCAACCCCATGGACTGTAACTTGCCAGGCTCCTCTGTCCTTGGGGTTCTCCAGGCAAGAATACTGGAGTGGGTTGCCATGCCCTCCTCCAGGGGATCTTCCCAACCCAGGGATCGAACCCAGGTCTCCCACATTGCAGGCAGACTCTTGACCATATGGGCCGCCTGGCTCATAATAAGCACTGAAAATGTTAGCTGTTGTTATTATTCACACATTTAAAAGCCCAGAAGGTCACATGTCATATTTAATAGATGATTCAACAATGGTTATTCTAATATTTCTGCAGTAATCAAGTATTCATTGATTTAAAAAATTTTTCACGTGGAAAAAATATAAGAATATAAAAATTTTGTTCATTTTTGAGTAACCAATTCAAATGCATCTTCTTTGCTCTGTCTCTTATCCAAATCTGCACAGGACTTTTTCTGTTCTTCTTTTGTGGCACTTTCTACATCCACTTTCTATTCTCCTTTGATGCGTTTCTTCTCTCTCCTGCTAATTTACAAGCTCTCTGAGCTCTGGAACTCCCTCTCGTTTGTTCTCTATCCATCATGGAATGTATCCTGTGTGACAGATGCTCACAAGTTGCTTGTCAAATGCAAATGAAGTATTGAAAAGTTTTTCTACCACCAGTCACTGAAACGGGTAAGACAAGTTACATTTATAAAATCTTTTTTGGTTTCTAGATTAGCAGCAAGGAAATTTGTAGGTGCAGCAAATTATCGAGAGAAGATTCACAGCACTTTGACACCATGTGGGACCTTTCTCTTTGCTGGAAGTGAGGATGGTATAGTATATGTTTGGAACCCAGAAACAGGTAAATAGCATTTCATTGAACTTTAAAAAGATTTGTTTTGTTTTTGATGAAGTATAAAAACTGCCGTTTTATGTAATAATTTTCAAGGAAATTTTTATTTTAAGGTCTCAGTTATGTTTTTCAGAATTGGAAAGCTGATAATGAAGTTCAGCTACAGTCCGAATCTTATTAATTCTGTTCTTTATGGTTTTGATATCTTCATGGATTTAGAATTTCACATTATAATTTAAGGTTTATTCTTTCCTTGCTGGTAATGAGATATTGATCTCACAGAAGTATTTAATGGGGACTGTGATACAAAATTCAGTTATGAACTGAATGTAGAGTTCAGCTAGGTATACAAATGGTTAACCATCTACAGTACATTTTTATTAGAAACAAACATATTCTGTCAAGAGTTTTGGATATTTGAAACTTAATAGCCATTTACCTGAATTACTATAATTCAACTTTTTCAATAAAATAAACTGTTACATTGGATAGTTCATTTGTGCTTCACTTGCTTTTTTAAAAGAAAAGCCAAAACTACATAAACATTTGTTTAGCAATAGAAAGAATTTCATAAAATTTACTTTAAAATTTCTTTAATGAGCAGTATTTGACTTCATCTTTTTTATTTTCATCTCTCCCTTTAGGCATTTTTGACTAATCAGTTCACTTAGGATTTTTTTTTTCTTCTTTGCTTTTTGAGTACTGATTTTCAAAACTTCTGCTGCAGTCATTAATAGTATGCTGCTGCTGCTGCTGCTGCTAAGTCGCTTCAGTCGTGTCCGACTCTGTGTGACCCCATAGACGGCAGCCCACCAGGCTCTGCCGTCCCTGGGATTCTCCAGGCAAGAACGCTGGAGTGGGTTGCCATTTCCTCCTCCAGTGCATGAAAGTGAAAAGTGAAAATGAACTCTCTCAGTCATGTCTGACTCCTAGCGACCCCATGGACTACAGCCTACCAGGCTCCTCTGTCCATGGGATTTTCCAGGCAAGAGTACTGGAGTGGGGTGCCATTGCCTTCTTTGCATTAATAGTGTGTGTGTGTGTGTGTGTGTGTGTGTGTGTGTGTGTGTGTGTATTTATATTTAAAGCAAATGGTACATCAAAATGCCTCTGGAAAAAAAAATAGAAATATTAAGTCCTCATTAAACATCCCCAACCAGAGAGTTTCTTCAGTTTTAGTCCTGATTTTCCTCCCATAGTTCTCCCTGGAGTTGTTTGTTAATTGGCATTTGCTCAGCTCTGTCAGATCTCAGATCTCTACAGATCTCTACTTCCAAGCTTTTTGTCTTTAGTTTGTGCCTTGAAACTCCATCAAGACATTGGATCAAAAAGAAGAAAAAGGAGGGCCAAGAGAATGAAAAATAATTGTTTAATATAGTGGTCGCAAAAGAGTCGGACATGACTTACCAACTAAACAACAGCTCAACTATAAGTATTTAAGGTTTCCCTGTAAATAACATGAGATTTATTATGACTTACCTTAAATCTTTTTTTTGATAAGTTGCAGAATAATCTTCTGATGAGAAATATCTGAGATGGTGCAAATTATTGAATGTCTTTTCTTATTTAGGAGACCAAGTAGCAATGTATTCTGACCTGCCATTCAAGTCACCAGTTCGAGACATTGCTTATCATCCACTTGAAAATATGGTTGCATTTTGTGCATTTGGGCAGAATGAGCCAATTCTCCTATATATTTATGATTTCCATGGTAAGTCTAATGCTTGATAAGGGGAGAATATTTAGAGTAACCTTTACATTTAGGCTGAATTGGAAATTATGAGCTCTGTGAAAACTGTCATTCTTTGTATTAACAAGACTCTCTTGAATGTATTATGAAGGCCAAGCAGCTTAAAAAAGATCATATTATTATAACATTTTATTTTTTCATGAGCATTTATATTATGGAATTTAAATATCATCAAAAGTATACATAATGGTTGTGCTCTTGTATTGTAGTCATAGAAAGGTAGTCATCACTCTCTTCATAGATCAATTTAAATAAATAAAATTCACCTAAAAACTATTTGGGAGTATCTCTAACTTTAAGAGGTAAATAACATCTAGGATATGTGAATCTGTAATGTTTTTACTTGAGTAGTGAGTTAATTTCTTATTCTTTGTTTTTGTTTTTAACTAAAGCACAGTTTAAATGTTATAATTTTCTGAGTTTCTTAACATAAAAAAGAAGGCCAAAAAATCACTTATAGCTGATTGACTTTGTTGTACAACACAACATAGTAAAACAATTATTCTCCAATTAAAAATAAACTTTAAAAAAGGAAGGGGAAAAAGTCAAGCCTCAGCAAAAATGCCTTTTTCTACATTAAAATCGGATTATTCTTTAGTTTTGGAAAATAATAAATAGGCTTTGAATACATTTTTAAGAAATAGTATGGCATTATTAGAATCATTTGGATTTATTGTTTTTCATATATTTCCTTAATTTCTGACCTGAAATTCGGATTTTGTTGTTCTGTGTGGTATTGACAGTGCTGACACTCTCAAAATTACAGTTCCATTTTCTTCATGTGTTAATTCTTATACAAAAATAAATGGCTTTTATAGTCTCTTTAGTTTGTTTAAGATACCACTCACCATTTTTGCTAAGATGATTTACACACAATGTCGTAAGTACATAAGTATATAAATATGCATTTAGATAACATTGCTGTGAAACTACTTGGACAGAATGTTTTAAATTAGTGAAATGCAAGTGGTTAAGCTTCCTACATTAACACAGTGTAAATTGGTTAATGTTTGTGATAAGTGCTAAGTTGTTAGACAGTTGAATTAAACTGTAAACCTAAAGTTCTTGATCATAGTATGAACCTTATTTCTTTATAGGTGAGTTATATTAGAGAATATATGTTAAATCAAGATTTATCTTGTTTTAAAGAATTTTACAGAGAAGAAATAATGAATTTCTGTAACATATTCAGATTTACAGAACACCATTACTAATGGTGAATTGTTAAACAACACAATACCATTTACTATTACAGTCAATTTAGCAAAAGTCAACACTGCCTGATGACAGGAAAAGACAAGTGGATTTCTCAAATCATCTAGTGTCCAAATTTGTTGTCTAGTTCAAACATAGGTCCTGAGACAGGTCTTTCTTTTATACATTTTTAATCTTCACAGAAAAAAGAAGAGTTATACCTCATTACTTTGTAATTGGGACTGTTATTCAGGAAATAGGTATACAGTTATTTCCTCAAACTCTTTAGGAGTTTCACAACAGTTTTCATTCAATTTCTAATTTGCTTTTGAAATTTTCACTACAAATGTAATTTCAAGCTCCACCCTTATTTCTTCAGTTTACTTTTTGTCTTTGATATAAGTTCATCTTTAGATTAGGTTTGTCCATTTGTTTTTTCAACAGTAGGTTTTTAGACTAAGGAGTCCATTCTAGAAGCACATGTAGGAAGAGCCAAGTGTTTAAAAGCATTGGTTTTAGACTCAGTTCTCTTTCTTTGGTGATCTTGCACAAGCCTTCCTGATGATCCAATTTCCCTGTCTAGTGAATGGTCCTACCGTTGTTCAGTCGCTCAGTTGTGTCCAACTCTTTGCGACCCCATGGACTCCCAGGCTTCCCTGTCCTTCACCATCTCCCGGAGCCTGCTCAAACTCATAACCATTGAGTTGGTGATGCCATCCAACCATCTCATCCTCTGTCGTCCCCTTCTTCTGCCTTCACTTTGCCAGCTTCAGGGTCTTTTCCAGTGAGTTGGCTCTTCGCATCAGGTGGCCAGAGTATTGGAGCTTCAGCATCAGTCCTTCCAATGAATATTCAGGGCTGATTTCCTCTAGGATTGACTGATTTGATCTCCTTGCTGTCCAGGGAACTCTCAAGAGTCTTTTCCAGCACCACAGTTTGAAGGCATCAATTCTTCGGTGCTCAGCCTTTTTTATTATCCAGCTCTCACATCTGTACATGACTACTGGAAAAATCATAGCTTTAACTATATGGACCTTTGTAGGCAAAGTAATGTCTCTGCTTTTTAATATGCTGTCTAGGTTTGTCATTGCTTTTCTTTCAAGGTGCAAGTGTCTTTTAATTTCGTGGCTGCAGTCACCGTCCACAATGATTTGGGACTGTGGTCCTACTACTACTGCTATTACCTGTCCTGCCTCAGAGAGTTATTTGTGAAGATGCCATGAGATAGGAACTGTGAAAGTACTTTGTAAGTTGATGAGCACCATATTAAAACAAAAAAGATAAAGTGGACTGTTATGCTCATCCAACCAGTATACACTTGACTTTATGGGAACTTTTGTTTTCGTATGCTGATAGCATCTCTTTGGAATGAAACTGAAAACAGGGGGGTTTTTTTTCTTTCTTTTCTTCTTTCTGTTAGTCAGCCTTTTCCTTTTGTATCTTTCTAGCTCAATTGTTTTAGAAAATAAATGCATAAAATTAAGAACATCATGTTATTTCCACACTATCTTACTGTAGAGGAGGGATTTCCATGGTGTTCTCTAGCCGTTTTAAATTTTAAATGTTCAAATAATACACATATTAAAATTATTTTTGCAGTGTCTGTCAGTTCGTTTTTGATATACTGACTTATCTTTATGAGCAAAACTCAAAAGGCTTCAACGTGTTTTCCCAACTCATCGCTGCTTATCTTTAAGAAGAAGCATCTTTGGAAAAAGTTATGTAATCTCAAGCAATTCAAGATTTAGCACAGTTCTTATAAATAGTATATAACCATGAAAAAAAGGAAAGTTGTTTCAGACTCTGTTTTACTCATTAAATACAAGCCAGAATCATGAGTCTTTAAATTTTTTCAGTGAAAATTATGGCATTTATTACTTACCTATTATAGTTTTGCCTTATATTTTATTTATCTTTTAACACAGGACTATTTTGCCCAAATTTTCTTGCCTGAAAATGAAGTTTGCATGTAGTTTTACATAAGTGTTTTCATGGTATTAAAATTGAAAGATCTAAAACAGTTACATGATTTTTTTAAATAGCATTTATCAGAGCCACTGATACATTTAGGCAATTTTCAAGGAAAATGGAGCAAGTTCTTTTTTTTTTTTAATCAGCTAAATAAGCTGTGAATGAGACCACAATGGTAGCTAAATGTATCATCCATCTTTCAGTTCTAGCAAAATCTGTGAAGAGTCAGCAAGCATCTTTCCCTGTTAAGCATATGTTCACGTTGTGGTCTTCTGGGTCTTTCATTCTACTGACTTTTTGCTTTTTTTGGTAAGAAATATGATTTTTACTTTCAGAAGGCAGTTGTATTTGCCTGATGTTGAAAGAGTTAATCATCTAGTAATACAAAATTTAGTCACAAGGTACCACAAATAATGTACTTTTAGGATTCCCATAAAAACAGAGTACTAGTCAGAGAAACGGCTTCTCCTGAATTAAATTTATGAAGCTAGACTTTAGCAATTAATGTTCTGTTATTAATCAATATTTGCCTACCTCAGAATGTAGGATCCTGTTATACATTTAATGGTAATTACATCTGATACAAAGCATTTTCCATGGGCCTGGAACTATTTTAAGCACTTTACATGTATTTATTTTAAGTTTTCACAATAATCTTATGAGGTTGGTACCATAATTATCCCTGTTTTTTGGGAACCAGGACTTGGATCCATACAATCTGGACTTGGAATACATGCTTTCATTTGCTACACTAAACTTTTTAGCAGATTTCCTGAAATATTAGCTTTTGATTGTCTAATATGCAGACTTCTTTTTTTGTTCCTACAAAACCATTTATTCTTCATCTTGGTGACTTTTTTGTATTATCTCTACTTTATGGGAGGTAGAGTTGGAGGCTTATTTGTCTTTTTTTTAAGCGGTACCTAGGCAGAATGCTGACACATATTGAATATACATGTAGTATTTTCTGTAGGATCAAGCCTAATTTTCAGTTGTCAGCATTATATAATTAGTGAGACTAATGTTTCGCTAGATGGCAGTGTGTCCCCTGAGTCAGCATTAACTCTGGCGTGCTTTTCCGTCATTGTGTTTGAGACAAAGCAGATCTTTATTGAGCATGTGTTGTGTGCCAAGTTTATCAGGGCTGTGAAACCCAGGAATCAGAACCATGTGCTTTTCCGATCTTTTATACTTCCTAAGTAGTTAATTAAACCTCTGGGAGAATTTTAGTGAAACTGAAAAGCAGCCTACTATTGACACTAAACATGAGTTTATGTATAGAATTTATATTTATTAATGATCACCTCGTTAGTCATTGTTGATAGGTGTATTTTTCACATTGTGACATGCTTTACCAGAGTTCATGTGATATATATCTTTACATTCCTATAAAATTTTTGTTACAGAACTTGCCCAGTAACTGTTAAGTCCATGGTGTTTGTGTATAAGGTCCTATACCTAACCTGTCATATTACTAATGTGCAGTAAATCCATAGAACAGAATTATGCACCCTTACATTTTATAAAAATAAAGAATGAAAGGCATGATCAATATGATCAGTTAGTAAATTTGGGTATAATAATAATAGCGGTAGTTGCAGTAGCTAACATTTATCAAGTATTTCTGCTGTCAAGCATTTATTTGTTTATTAAGTATTCCCTACTCTAATTAGCATTTTACATACATTATCTTTACAGTCTTCCCCAGTCCCCACAAGGTAGATGCCAGCATTATCCTCATTTTGTAGATGATAAAACTGATGCGCAGGGAAATTAACTTGTCTGACGTCACACAG